GCTAACCAGAGAAGCAAAGCAAGGAGAGCTGCGCACGACAACATAAAGAGCTGCTTTAGAAGTGCCGAACGGAACGAGAGTACAATTATTTATCTCCAAGAGAAGATTTAATGCACACATTTATGATTTTTAAAAAGTAAGCTAATAAAGCCGACAGACAACTAAAACCCCAAACTTTATGGACAAACCACAGAAGAGAGAAATTTGGGGTGAAATTTAAATTTAGATTATCAGAAGTGCAGACTGAGTAATCAAATGCAGACTTTGTCACAGTTGTCTTCTCTTTCCTTCTATGAAGAGAAGCTCTCAGTCCAGTCCACAACAGAACACTTTCTATGTGTCTCTCCTGTTACATAGAGATAGCAACTGCCAGAAGGAAGCCTGGGAAGACTATCCCTTCTCATATACCTAAGTTCCATTTACAATGGATTGCAATCTTTAAATAAGAAAACACAAAGGGGAAGCTCCAGGGCAAGTCTTTAGTTGACCTAACTCTTTGAAGACTATCAATCTAAGAAGTTATCAATAGTCAAAGTTATGTAACAGAGAAGGAGAATGTGCAGGATTACTTCTTTTACAAGTAGCATTAATGCAAACTGAAACACAAAACAAAACAGTTTAACCTGCAATTTATTGTAGTAAGAAAACATATGACCTCCTTTGACAAAGAATATGGCAGAGGGCAATGATAACCCATTCTTAACTACTTTTTAAATTATTTAGGTGTTCAGAACATAGAGAGTATGGAAACTAAAAAAAACCCTTTAATTAATGAATTATGTATTTTAGTTTCTAACCTATTCAGAGGGGACCTTGCTTCTCTTTAACATGCTAAACTTGATTAATACAAATTCTCTATTAAGTTAGATGCTAATGGTAATCAACTATACTCCTTTCTTTAAAAGAACAGCCTTTAATTTAACTGGGCAGTGCACAGAAATGGCATTTTTTGACAAAGTGACAAGTTTTTGGGAATCAACAGTATCCCTCAGTGCACCCAAATCCTAACAGACTTTCCAACTAAGATGTCAGAGAGTTTACAAAAAAAAATAATAAAATCCCAAACCATTTTTGATGCTTACAGTGACTGTAATCTTTGCTCTTCTATTTGACAACCATGCAAATCACTGAGTCTTCCTCAGGTGAGTGAAGCCTTTTAACCTTTTCAAAAGGTAGAACACTGCATCATTTGAAGAAACAGCCAACTACAAAACTGACAAAGCGTGTGCCATGGTATTAATAAAAGAAATTATATAAATAACTGAAATGATTTTTCAGGGAAAATAGATGGCTATAAATGTATGAAGAGGAAAAGCAACAAAAAGGAGCAAATTGTGTACCAACTTCACCTGAAATCCACACCAAGAATAAAAAGCCTGCTTAGGGAAAACATCCACTGCTAACAAACGAGGAAATCCCAGTCTCCATCAGAATCTAATTAATTTGGATGTGTCTGTTTAGCAAAGGATACTACACTTTTTGAACACAGAATATGTATATAATGATTTAAATCAAATAGCTTGTGAAAAAAAACACTCCAAAGCTTCCCATCAGAAAACGTTTTTCTGTGAGTGTTATCAAAGCACTTGGATGAGAGTCTTCTCACTTATTCTGTCACAAATCCATGGCAGCTTCACTATACTCAGAAGAGGAAATAAACCAAAAATTTAAGGTATCTTCTTGTAAAAGTTGTACCTATTTTGAGGCAGATTGGTAGCAAGTCACATGATTTAACATATATTGCACTTGAAATGCACACAGAGTTATTAGACATGTTCCATTAATTAAAGCTTTAAAAGATATTGTTTTTATAACACATATTAGCAGATCCTAAAAGGAAGAAAAATTATTTTACTGGAATTAAGACATGTTTCTATAAGGAGTAAAAATTATGTCTGCTATAGATGCCTGTTTAAAAGTTTCTCTTCAAAGGCAGGGGAATCAGAGCTACTGATTTACCTCTTCTAATGAAAAAGGTGGTGTAGAAGAGTTACTTAGTTCCAGCTGACCTTGAATGTAATTGGCTACCTTGGATGTCTCTATGGTATATGCCATTAAGAAGATAAAAATATACAGGATTAAAATCTGAACCGATAAAGCTAAGAAATTAAGTATTACTCCTTTAATAAGCCTACTTTATGAAAGTACGTGAATACCAAAATATCTCCATACTGATTGCTGTTGAAGTGTGAATAGGTTTAAAAGTTATTAAAAGCACAAGTATCTAATATTTTATTTTTTCCCTTCTTACCTGTTTAAAAACTATGAATAAAGAACTGAAAGCAAATTTTTTTACTCCATCACATCCTACTTCATTCAAAGTCACTTGTACAACACCACATTCTCCAACTTTTAATATATACTTAGTCTAGACCAACAGACTATTTTGTATGTTAAGATGAAGGCATAGTTTTTCTATTATACTTTTTCAGTGCAGCAGTTATTTTTTTCCATGCTTGTCTACTATTTAAGATGTTTAAAGCTTATGCAATTCTAATAACACTGTTTTACAAGGTCAGAGTTGATTATTGCAGAGATGAGATTGTTCCACTGTACCACAAAACAAGAGCTACAACAAAATCCAATTTTAAGTCACAAAAACTGATGAGCCAAGAGAAAAAGGTCTGCCAGTTAAAACACAAGACAGAGAGCATTTCTGTCTGTCATGAATAAAGCCCTGAATAAAGTGGGTTTGTGGTAAAGGGTGGGTGAAAAAAAGCTTATTAAAGACTTCTATTTCAAAAACCCAAACATGTAGAACTCAAATTAAAAAAAAAATATTTTACCCCTTGGTATCAAAGCAGTCTGTTTTAGACTGCTACTTGAATTTAGGAAGCACTTTTTCAGCACAGGTTCAGAACCGTGCTGAAAAAAATGATAAAAATTGAAGGCAAAATTATGATTTAGGAAGTATACATTACTAAATCATCTATGCATGACTAAAGAAAAATAAATCAAGAAACATTAGATCACGAATGTGTGTTGCCATCCTACCACAAATATCTCATTTCTTTCCTTGATACAGTCGCAGATACAGGCTGTTACAACTACAACTCAGTTTTGTAGTAAACATCACGAAGGCATCAAGAGACACCAAACAACCTTCCAGAATTTAAACAGAAGTTTAGGGAGAGTAGACAGCAACAAGTCTGTAACTCAGATTTGGTTCAAACCTCCTCCATGGAAAGGATTGAGAATTATGGAGTAATACATTTAGAAAACCAAATCAGTGTAACTGTAAGTGGTAAACTTCATCTCTAAGGTTTATTTTTTCAATTTTCTTAGCCTCCATCCTAGCACAACAGCTATGTTACTATGTTGTATTGTATCTTTACAGATTTCAGCTATAACCAAACATTTTACACTTTATCAGGTTGTTCCAGTAGCAGAATTAGGATGCTGTGTAGGATCACTGCTCTCTCAAAAAAATTGTATCTAACCTTTAATAAACAAAAAACAGAAGGTGTGAAATCTAATACAATCAAATCCAATAAGCCATGTAACAGAGTTGCTTAGAACTCCATCCTATATTTTAAATGCCTACAGTTGACTTTTTGTTTAATTTCCTCTGAGCAAATGTAAAGGTATGTTTTACATATAAAGTAAAAAATGGTGAAATACCATGCATTAATGTATAAAAAGTAGACCCTAATGGAAATTTCCAATAACATCTATCTTCTATTAATTCCCTTCTTTATGATCCTAATAACTACTTTATAATCTTGAATCAAGTATTTCCCAAAGAAATCAAACACCAGTCAAATGGCTTATATATACTGCAGTTATATCTGAAACAAAGCACCCAAACAGGAACATTAGACAAGCTTATTCTAACATTGAAATGAAAGACAAAAGTTAGGGGACTGTGAAGTAAAGAAAACATAAAAACCAACAGGTAAATTGGAAATTTCATTGTCTTTCACCCTTAGTGAGGTAAAGTACTTTTAGTAAATAATACTACTAATCAAAACCCTCCTTAATAAATTTAATAACATCCTTCAGCTTCCTCCACTGTACATCAGTTCAAACTTCAACTCTGCTGCAAGTCATCCTCCTTGACATCCATTTTCACTGTTACATTTTCAACAATGGTTTCTGACATTTCTACTAATTTTGTAGCTTGTATCTTTTAGGTTCTCCTCCTCCTGCCTGTTGACATTTCTTACCACTTCCTCCCTAAATCTTCCTCAGAATCACAAGTGCTTCCATTCCGCAAAATACCAGTGAAGCAGTCTCTTTTGCTCAACTATGAATTCACGGATTAATTTTTTGCTCAACTATGAATTCACAGATGAATAGACAGTAGTAGGACCGAAAAGCAGACACAAACAACAAAGCTCACTTTAAATAAAAAATAAATAAAAGCTGCAGAGCACAGGTCACCACACATTACTGGTCTGCCATCAGATCCTTCTCTTCCCATGTGAGATATCCACCTGGTTTCAAAACTTTTATTCTCTCTCTGCTCCTTGATATGCAATCAGAGACACTAACATCACCTTTTCCCTCACTACTCTGTAATGTCTGGGGAAAATTCTAAATCCTGATGAAAAAGAATCTTTCTTTACTCTCACCTAGCATATCCCAAAGTGACAGACGCATTCTCTATGCTAACATTATATTCAGAAACAGCTAATCCAGGTTTTGAAGTATTCTTATGATCTCTATCAAAAAACAAGGTATTCCTGTACTTCTTCCTTCATTTTTCCTATAGTCTGCAAACACCTCACGATAGCTAGAATTGCTGTCTCTTATGTAAAAAACAGACACTTCATATTATGTATATTGGTGTACACCGCCCAGTCCCAAAAGCAGAAAAGTGGAGTTATACCTTTAAGTTTTGCCTTGAAAGTGTTCTCTGAGTACCTTGAAATTCCAATGCGGTGAGCAGTATGTGTGCATTTACTCCTATACTTTTACTTGCACAAGAGCTGCAAGATTTGCCTTATTCACCAAAAGGTAAATTGCTGGTGCCTATTTCAGAAGGATAATCATCTTACCTTTACAGTTTCACTTAAGACTTGGTTTTTATCTGCTTCTTCACTGGAGTGCAATTCTAGTTTACTTTTTAACTCCTGTAGCTGTTGTGCCTGTTCATTCAAAAGCACTTGTACTTGATGCTCCTGATGTAATGCATTATTTAATTTTTCACATGCACTTTCAAACTTCTCACGGGTGATCAATTTCTGATAAGGGAAATAAATTGTGTTTGATTGTGTAAGTGAATTCACTTGTTTACATGCTTGGCTTCCAGAGTTCCACTTCCAAACATACCAAATTCTAAAACAAAAGCATACTAAAGGTGAATATTTAGGTTTTTTAACATGAAGACAGACCACTGAACAATAAAATGGCAACAACTTTATTCACTGTATTTTTCAGAAAGGCATTCAGGGTACTGTAAACAGTATGCATTCATTATTATATTCAAATTAGCACCCCAGGTTATAAAGTATCAATACTTAGAAGGAAATAAGCATATCAATGTCCTACATTTCAGTGCATATCTTATTAACTCTTGTAAACATTTTCCTGGACTCTTTCTACCCTCCCTAAAGTTCCCAAAAGAAGAAATAATTAATCAAGGAAAACCATCATCTACATTTGAACAACCATCTAAAATGTAGCAATTTCATCTAACTGTCCCAGAACTGTAAGGGAAAAAAAACCCAGTAAGAACAAAACTGAAGATGATTAGATATAACCTTGTCCATTTAAGTAAAAAAAAAAATAATCCATTTTTCCAGCTAGGAACATGAAGGAGAATGGATGTAAGATTATCTATGAAATATTGTCTTGGAAATGTTTTGATTAGGACATACTGACAGATCTACCAACTAGGTCTCAGACTCAGCACTGGGCAGAGCTACAGAAAAGGCTGCTCATTCTGGGACATGTTTCAATTATACTGTGCACCTGTATAAGCACGTGTAAGAATTCTTGTCCGTTCATTTTCTCAGATAGCTCTAATGTGAGCTCAATTCTGAATGCAAAAAAAAAAAGCACTGGAGGAAAGGTGTCGAGTGAACCTCCAGCAGGCTAAACCAAAACAAGTTTCTTCCCTGAACAAGGAAGGGCTGAAGGCACAGTTCCCCAGGTATGACAGGGAACAAACCAAAAACCTACAAAATGGCATCAATCCCTCAAACACCATGTCTGTTACTCGCTATACTTTGGCTTCAAGTTTTTAAGGAACCTTTGCTTCTTCTCATTCCTGCCAGAAAGTGTTTATTTAAACCTTAGTGAACCCATAGTATTTAAGTAAATTGATCAGTGACAGCAAATTATCAGAGGAATTAGGTGCATATGTGCTACTGCAATGTAGAAGAGGTCTTTTTTAACTTGCCATAAACATAACCCTTCAAGGAAGCAGCCACACTCAAATTTGCACTGACCAGCTTAGGATATAACCCATTCTCAAAGATACAGTAAAATGTCCATCACAACATACAGCAATATCCATGCAGAGTTTAATGAACTTCTCATGAACATACTTATTGGATACCCTCTTTCAAGCTGACTTTACTCTTGTTGAAGTTGAAATGATATCTATAAATCCTTTCAACATAAATAAATCACACCAATATTTTCAACATATGGAAGAAAACCTGGGTTGCTGAAGACCAAACGTAGTTTATCCTCATTCTACAAATCAAAGAGAAACTCCTCTGGAAAGAAGATACTTCTAAATACATCTGACTTATAGTTTAGTGACATTTACTAGGCAAGTTTTCTAGAAAATTCTGTTAATAGTAGATTGATTTTATACTTGTTTTACAAAAGAACACAAATCAAAAAATGTGTAAAAAGGAGGATCTTTTGTAAGCAGTCTCCTTTAAATCAAATATACTTACGGATTGTTCGAACAAATTTACTTGCTTTTGCAGGCTCTGGGCTTTATCAGCTTTTTTCAATTCACTGAAATTCCATTTGAATTCTGCAAGTTTTAGGCGCAGTGAGCGGCGCTCCACTTCTGCTGTATGAAGTCTTTGTGTAAATTCAAATATTTGCTTCTGCAAGGATGCTATGCTCTTCTGTTAGTAAACAGAAACAAAATCATGTGCTATAAAATGTTCTACTTTAGCAATAAAATCAATCACATTTAATATCCAAGCAAATTAGACAAAGCTGGCATTCTTTCCTCCATTTCTAGAAGACATGACTGAAAAAATGTGAGCTTGTTTCACCTGCTGTTGAAGGTTACAAAAAATCTGTTTTTAAAGAAGATGTAAGGCCCATAATAAAATACAGATCATGTGAGAAAGAGTTTATCCTTTCATTTTGGTTAAAGGAAAGAAGGTTATCTTCACCGAGAGACAGAACAGCAAGAAAGAGAAAAGGAAAAAAAAAAAAAAAACCCCAAAAGAAAGAACCTTAACATTTAGTTAAAGCCAAAAGCAAGTTTGTTATTATAAAGTAAACACAATTTTGATAGGAGTTTAATTCTTTTTTTCTTGGATAGATCAAATCTCTTCTTGAAATTCTTTGACAATTAAAGATCTATTCACACCCTAATGCTTTTGGGTATTGCAAATGAACTTCTGATTCTCTATATAGTTGATGTCAGTGTAATGGACTCATAAACAATCTGAAACAAAATTAATGGTACTATCAATAGAGCTTCACCATAACATTTATGTTGTGAACCTACTGTTTACATGAAGTAGCAGTATAAATATGCATACCATAATGGGTAGTCTGTCACACAATCCAGCTTCCAGGGCCTGGGTATTTATTTTGTGAAGTCCGTGAGCCAGCCTCTGTACCAAGGAGTCTTTCTCCCAGTAAATATTGCTCCTGCTGCTTTCTACTGGAACAGCCTCCATTATTATATTCAGCTTGTCCATAAGTTTTGAAAAGGAGTTCCTGGCTGCGCTTATAAGTAAGTGTCCAGAAAGCCAAGGCCTTGGATCTTTAAGAAACAACAACAAACAAGAAACATTGAGTCAGTTATTAGTTTGGAGGGCGAGATGGGGGGGGTGGGGGTGTCAGTGGAAAAAAGCAAGAACAACAAATAGCATCTTTAAAGTACTCTGTAAGAAATTTCTATTAAAGAGTGAAGGCTGAGCTCACTGGAACATCTCAGAGACTTTGGGACAAACTCTGTATTTAGCAATGAGCACTCCTACCAATCTTTGAATGGAAGGGTAGGATAGGATGCAAAAGAGTAGGATCTTTTTCCAGTTGTTTTTATGTTCTCCTCCAATACTACAGCTTCTTAAGTCTTTCTTGGGTGCTCTGATTTTGTAATTCAGAAAACATGTAAGATGGATGCAAGAAAATGCAAGCCAGGTCAAGTATGTCAGATGTGATAGCACATGGTAAATTATTTTATCGCAATATTTACAATGCAAATTTCTGAGGGTTTCCTGACTCCTTTTTCCTCCCCTCTATAGATGTCTAAATCATTTGCTGTTCAAAATTAGTGAGGCTTGGTACCTTAATGCCATACTATTTATATTCTGAGACAAGAGAATATAATTTACCTTATTCCAAGGCAATTAAAATTTTACAGCTACAATTACTTATTTTCCCACAGGATTTTGGTAATCATCCTTCTCATATAATGGACTTAAGGCCCCAGCACACCCAACATGTCCTGCTTACTGCTAGATTCATCAGGTCTGTAATTAATAATTGTGTTTAATGTTGATAAATAAAATTGTCAGTGCTCCTTCCACTAATTGGTATTCCAGATAACAGTTAATAGGTTTATTTATGCCTTAATAAAAGTCTTGTAATTTAGTTTTCCCTCTGCTAGGCAGGTCTTAATCTGTCATTACTTGTCTTATGATACTATCAGTGTAAGATGACAAGCATGGAAGAGCTTATTTACATTCAGTAGTACAGCAGATCTCCTGTTGCTGCAGTGAATTAAATATTTACTTAGGAGTATAAATAGAAAAAAAAAACAACATAGCTTTTTTAAGTTAAAGAATTTCTTTTTATACATTGCAAGAATAAAGACAAATGTTCAAAGCAAACAAAATGTGATCATTGATATTTTTAGATTACAATTCTCACCATAAATAATTTATTATTTACACATATGAGATGAAATTTATCTGTAAGCAAACAAACAAACAAACAAACAAAGCACATGATAAAGTCAGACATTGTTTTTTCAGAGCCATTCTCTGGCTTGGTTTCAAAATACCACCATTCCAATGATTCCAGTGCTTACTCAGAGGACCATTTTCGAGCACATGCTCTCCATAATCCCACCTAGTAGCAAATCTGTGGTTTCCTCATGTCTAAGACACCATTCTTTCTATTCATCTTTAAAGCTAAAAATGTTATCCAAAATTGTTGTCTTGCACTTCAACTAACAAAACATCCTTGGAAATAAAAAAATACTATTCTTCTCATATCCAGAAGAAACCGCTATTCTAATGCTCTCTCTACTTGCCCAAGGCTCCTCTCTCCTCCTTATGTTGGTTCTCTATTACTGATCACTTAAAAGATAAGCTACTTTCATCATTTTAACTCTTATCACACATTATCCTGTCCTACCTGTCTCTCAGTTTCAAAGACCATCTCTTTTCTCCAGACATGATGCATCACTAGTTTGAATGTTTAGTTAAATTAACCTAAAATTAAAAGAACATAATTTGTACTGCCTTCTATGTAAGTTGACAACAAAACCTTCTAAAAAACTCTCCTTTGAGGTTATTTTTGGTTAATAACAAAACAAGGGTATTGTCAATGAACTACTGTTTCTTCATTTTTCCTAGTATTTCCACCTGGTATCTCATTTTACACAAGACTGTTTGCCTGCCAGAAAACACAGTATTTCTCCATATGTGCAGTAAAGTACCTAGGACGGCAGCCCCCTTCCCTATCTACAGCCTCCAGTTTAACTGTATTAAAAATAAATTAATAATAATACTAGTTCAGGCAATTGTGTTGTAGCATTTTTAAATGATCTTTCCACTTCATAACAAGGATTCTCATTATTCAGTATAGTTCAGTACCCACAATTTAAGGCACTTACTTGGGATAGGGAATAAAAAAGCAAGTCAGCACCTCTGTTTAATTTTAATGAAAAACAGTTTGGAGTAATTCACAGAAGTATGGTGATGTAAGCTGCTGACTGCTTTGAAAGACAAAATGAGAATTTAATGCAGTTCCACAAGGAACTGTATCTATAATCATTGGGAAGAGAGCATACGGTTTAAGTATATACATTTAAAGTACCTGCCCGTGAAGGATCAAGGAATTAACAAAAAAAGCATTAAATTATATACACTGTGATGTGTATAAGAAATTATTAACACAAATACAGACATATCACAAAGAGCAATTAATTCTTACATTGAACAAATGAAGAAAAGAATGAAAAGTGGCAAATCTTACTTCACTGACAGAGGAGTTTACTCCATTTTGGTGAAACAGAACAGTCAGCAGGATGAACTTACAGTACTGCACAAGAGTAAAATTTTTGTGCTAAGCTTCAAAAGCTTTATGTATGTAACAGTTGATGTCATTTCTATTATAAAAGCTTGAACTTTACTTTCTCTGGTTTATCACAGTACAGATTCTCTTCAGACAAACTTTACAAAAAACTACAAAACTAACTTTACAAAAAACCAAACCACAACAAAACAAAAACCTCCTACACTTTAATGAACTTGTATTCAAATTGAAGCTAAGAGATCATTCCAAGACATGCTGGAATAAGAACCAAACTAATGAACAGTGTAAAGAGAAATGATCATGAATGTCAAACCATAACCATATTTTTAAAAGTTAAAAGCTCAATAAGTATGCTTCAAATCACCAGAGTCCACAAGCCTAAAAAGTTCCAGTGTTATCTGAGTGATCTGGATTTGGTTTCTTTCAGCTGCCTCAAATGGTTCCTCAGTACCTAGCCATCTCTAAAAGTAATTTTTAAGACACCAAACCATTCCATATCATAGATCCAGATAGCACCTACTCTCTCCTCTGATGTGCAGTCTAACCTGGAACTGACATTATTTCAAGATTTCAACAGAGCAGATGCCTCTCTGATTGCCTATTTTTTAAAAAAATTCAAAATCCTTTAGGTCAGTTTGAAAGTTGAAATCCTGTTTGAAATATGACTTACAAAACATAAAATAATTTCCTAAGTATGCAAGCTTTCTTTCAAATATTTTCCTTCAAAGCTTTATCACTTTGATACTTCTGGAAATTTCATGTCAAACTTTAAATAATCTATTACTATTTTTTAAGCCAAAGGTTCTTGGGAGACTTTTGATCTCATGAGCAACAGAATTCCAAGTAATACATGAGCAGTTAGATCTTGAGGTTCTGTGAAAATGACTTAAAATAGAGATAAGCTATGAAAGAACCACCAGACTAGCCATAACATTCTCAGCATTGCTTCTCCTAGTTCTCAAAATCTAAACTGTGTTGAGTGCAGAGGTATCTAGTAAATGGAGTCCACCAGAATTCTCCTATATTTCAATACCAGCAAAGTATCATGAGGTTTCAGGTGTTCTAACTAGTCATTTCAGCACACCAATGCTGCTGTAAATTGTCTCTTAATTCTTTTTCAATTTGCTGTTCTTACTCAACACGCTATTCACAGGAACGCTTGCAGTATAAACCCTGTAAATACTCTGAAACATAGTTCAAACTTTGTTTCGTATGGATGTAAATTTAAGTTACTAAAAACAGAATGATCAAAGAATAGAGCACCTGAAACCGAATTGAAACAGTTTTGATTCAATCACTGACTTCTGGTATAAGTTTACTGCTCAGGCTTCTGGGAAATGTATCACCTTCTCTCTGCCCTGCTACATCCCTTTATTCATATAAATTATTCTTCCTTTAATATCCGTTATTCTGTGGTCGCATTGTTGGAACTTAGAAACTATGAGGTTTCAAGGAAACCATCACTCCTTAGATGACAGCAATGCAGGGGAACTAAGTGAGATCTTATACTAGTACTCACTACAAAGAAATTAAGGTAGACAGTTAACAGCTGGGAATCAAGAGGTGACATTTCCAGAGACTGGCACTAAAATTTTCTACAGGCATAGCAGAATTCTACATCAGGATAGTCTGAGAAAATTAAGGAATCTAGACACAAATCTAATTAAGCACATACTTAGGAAACACAGTACAGACAAAATAAGGACTGCTATACATTGTGTAAATTGACAGCATTTTATGTCTCTCTCAAAAACCACAAGATAGCAAGTAAACCAGATGAAAATATTACCCTCTATACTCAATTGTTTTCCAGATCTGGAAATTCTAGACTCGTATCATATAAAACACAGTAGGAACTTATTTCATTTCAGTCAGCAGGGGTAACGTCCCAGGCTGAGCACGTGTCAGTTTTAGGGCACTTAAGAAATGCACCGATCAAACAGACAGAAACAATGTAGATTTTCCCCATGGAAAAAAAATTAGGTTGAGCTCCCGTAAAATACTTGTTGAATATTAGAACAGTGGAATGAGATAACTAGGAAACTTGTAAGTACTATGTCATTGGAAGCTTTTAAGAATAGGTTAGCCAACTATCTATTGTTGTGGTATAGACGGTTTTTCACTATCTCACAACAAAGCAGGCAAAACTGTTCATATGCTTTCTAGAAGCATTCTCCAGCCTTCTGATTCAATGACTCTACATGCTGAGGTGATAAAGTATCATAACACCAGTTAAAGAAAATTAATCCACTCCAACAATACAGCTCTCCAGAGATTTGATTCAGAATAGTTCAGATAAAATCCTTAAAATGGAAAAAAACACCTGATGATTTTTTAAAATCTTCTACTACAGTAATATACTTTAAAAATTACCTGGTGTGTTTACAACATCCTGTAATTCAGTGACAGAACTGATTATTGCAGCAAGGAGGTTAGAACTAGTAAACCAGCTGAGTGCTTCAACACAGTGCATTTGTTCCACGTCACAACCTGTGAAATAGAATTGTAGCTAGCAATAAAACTGATTAACTTGGATAAGGCATACTACTAATTCCAGCTCCTCAGAAATTGATCAAAACTAAGTATGGAAGCCACAAACTAATTCTTCTTTCAGGACAATTTAGACTGTATTAAATATGCTTCCAAAACTACTAGAACAGAAGAGTAGATGAATCGTCTAGTTTGGGAAACAGTTTTGACAGCATTTTTCTTTGTAGAGGGAAGCATGAGCTTGGTCTTCTAACAGAAAGGGACAGGAGGACTACATAGTCTGTAAAGAAAAATGTAGAAATACTATACTAATATTTTAACTGAATCACAAAGCAACTTCTCACATTTTTAGTAGGAAATAAATATTAAAAGTGATTGAAAAAAGGAAATATATTTTCAAAAAATAAGGTGATGGTCAATCATCTAGGAATATTACAAAACATTTACCACAGAGAAGGTGTGGTTAGGACCTAGTTCTGAAATCCATATTGCACACGTCAAGGATATCAAACAGTATGAGCTCACGTGTGTAGTTGTAACTCTTCTTTTAGTGCTTAACAGACTAAGCATTTCCTTTTAGGCAAAATTATATTTGTCAAGAAATGCAGAAATCACAAATACAGAAATTACATTTTTCAAACTGTCATCAAATTCATCTTTACACTCTATTAATAATAACATTACTATTTGCTACTCATTAACCATGTAATTTGCTATAACACTTATCACAGAAGAAAACAATTAGCTTACTTGACAGATTACGCTTGGTTTTGGAGTCTCCTATACAAACTAGAATTCCGATGCCTTCTTTGAAGCCATTTACCCAGGAGAAGAGGGAACTAGAAGACTGGGCTAAAACTTTAAGTCTGTTAACTGCCAAAACTGCAATCACACCTCTTCGGAATACATGAATCAGGCCTCTGAATTTTCTTTTCTTCAGATTTGCTTCATCTTGATTGTTTTCCTCTACATCAGAGAGAGCATGAACGAGGGTCTTAATCTCCTGATTCACTAATTCATAAATGTTGACCTGATCCTGGAGAAGGTTTCTTTGGGAAGACATAGCACATGATCGGCTATAGAGAGGATACAGGGCACCTGCTAATAGAGCACAGGCTGCCAGGAGAGACGAATGCTCCTTCTGAACCTGCATTAATGTATTTTTCACAGAAACATTTTCAACAGACAATTTCTCCTGTCTTTTTTCAAGGACATAGATTTTTTCCTTGTTTTTCTCCATGGTTTCTTGGTATTCCTGTGGTAAGGGGAAAAAACAAACAAACCCAGAAAAATATCAACTAGAAGATATCTTTTAAAACAACAAAATCACTTTTACCTAGACAAAAGCTAAAAGTAATATTTTTTTCCAGAATCAAATAACACATTGAAGGAACAAAAGTTATTCATACTATCAAAGTATCTCTCCTAGTAAACAGTTACAGAACCAGATATATGAAAAGAAATCAATAGCACAAGGAAAATTTGCACAATCTGCAACTCCAGATTTCTGACAATAATCCACCAGTACTGTGATAGCTCACAGAAGGTCCAACAGTACCTGCCTGTTTGCAATACAGTGGTATGAGCTGGCTTAACAATAGGCAATTACATGCTCCAATTTCAGAAATAACATTGCTCTTCAAAGCAGAAAAGAAAGTTTGTGTAAGAGAGGAAAAAATAGAAGGAAGACTCTGGAAGATAAACCTAGACAGATTGGCAGCAGCTGGGAAAGGGGAAGTAAAGGTGATCTCCTAATTACTTTGTAATCAACCCCCTACTTATATATTCACAGATTAATTAGGTCTCATACAGAATTGAGTTTTCAGAAGAACAGTGTAATACAGATATTTTTGTTTTGGCTACTGTCATTACAGACTTTTTTCCAACTTGCAGAATATTTTTTCTTTTCCTCTATATGCCCTGAAACAGAGAAAGAGGGAAATTCAAAACAGTAAACGAGTGTAGCAAAATGAAGAGACTAAGAAGCCAGGGAATGCCAGGACTAAGGTTAGACCGTGCAGACTGGTTGCTTTTGCTAACATGCATGGGAATCAAGACACTCTGCTAGGACCTCAGAGACTTAGACTTAATGCATGACAGTCCTCTGTGATTGGAACAACCACAGAGGAGGTGGTTGAGGCCAAATGAGGCTACACTGACACAGGATCCAGTGGTATAAGGAGATAAATTATAGGCACTGTTCACAAAGAGCCCACAAGCTCAAGTTAAATGCTTAAGCTTCAGTTACAGTACATGGACAGAAAATGGCAAACATGAATGGAATGACAAGTCGACATAATGGAGAAAAGAGAGGATTATGCCAAGTTTCAGCTACGTCTTAGAGCTATAAGCCATCTTCTTAAAAATGGGGTGAGGATATTCCTGTTATCAGTGGCCAAAAGAGAAGTAAAATGGTATCTTCCAGCCACATTCACATGTGTTTTATTTGGTACAGTTCCCAAGCAAGTGGTGAGGGGGGCACCTAGTTTCTTCTCCCTCATCCATCCTGCAAGCAAAACGGGAGGAAAAAAAAAATACACAGATATCCCTACACTGGAAAGAAAAGGTGCCATGCTTCTACAGAGAAGTACTGTAGTCAGTTCAGAATGTCTTTGACCAAATAAATATTTTATTACTTTTTTGGAAGAGGAAAAATTTGTAGCGTTATTAAAATACTTTCAGTGATACAAAAATAGAGTAGGTAACTAAAAGACTTAATTACGAAATGCAATTTACAGGCCTCATGTCACTTTACTAATCTAAAATTAAGTATAAACTTGTACAATACTTTCAGGGCTATTGCATTATTTACAGTGTTTGATTTTTATAGAAAAAAAAAACTGATAGCATGACTGGAAGGAACTGAAAAGGTAAGCTGAATTTAGAAAACAGCTTATGGTTTCTGGCCATCACAGGTGAAAGGCCAATATCTGAGTAAACAAAGTGTGATCCCTACAGGGCTGTTGGGTAGCAATACTAACATTCAGTGCTCTGGCTAATTAAAGATTATTTTTTTTAAAAGTTTAGTGTTTTAATGCTTATGGTTACATGATAAAATGCAAAAGTGAACAAGACAATCTCTGACTATAGATATATAAAAGTTTTGTAAGATGTACACCTTCTTGGTTTTACCAGCTAATAACTGCTTTTGTCTTGCCCCACACTGTTTCTAGTCTTTTCTTCAAAGCTTAAAAGCACAGTTTTGAAAGGGATGTAGAATCCTCTTCTAAACATGGGCAAGCCAGCTTCCTTCAGTGTTCGAGCTTTGAGGGACACCTACTGGGTTGCAGAGCTTGGCGGATTCCAAGAATCCTTAACAAAAAAATCAGGTGCTATGAGCAACACGATTTTATCCTACATTTTACTGGGTCCTTACCCTTTATTCCGGCATGAAAACAGAATTGGAAACTAGAAATGTAATGACATTATGACTTAAAAAATTTTCCTATATATAGAACTATATATCTAAATAAACAACAACACCACTGTCCCCCACTTCTTTTCTGTGTTTTAAGTACATGGGCCAGACGTGTCTATCAAAGACACCTGGTGGGTCAGGAACACTATAGTTATGGATACTTCTTCTCCTTTTGCATGGATTGCACTGACTTTTGATACAATTTTGATACGATACCCTAGCCTTTAGATAATTTACCTGCCTTGCTGTAAAATCACAGCTTTCCAAACCAAAAAAAAGCCAATAAAAGACATTTTTTTTCTCCCTAGAGGACTTTTCCCCTTTCCTATTTAGCAAACCTTTTATTTTTCTGTTGAAATTAACATTTTTATAGTAGTTACAGGGTTTTTCTCTTACAACATGTTTTTGCACATCAGAACAAAACCCTTCTATTTTAAGTGGTTGCCACAAAAAATGGGGACAGATTAATAAATGTCTACATAATACACAAACAAAAACTGATAGTTAAAATTCAGAGGACATTTCCTTTGAGACTGTGCATGGTCTGAATAAATAATTTGTGTAAGGCTAAGGAGCAGGCATAGTAACATTTTCAAAATGGCACGCTATCAAATCACGAGGACTGCGCTCCTGCTACAAAAGGCAAGGGAAAGGGATATGCATTTTAAGCTCTACTGACTCTCCAAACATGGACACCATGGACAAAGAAGGGCCAAATCCGTAGAGTGTCCTTTTTTATTGCTGATCTGTGATAAGGCCACTCTGGGAATTTCTGCCCTACAGAAAAACAGTGAAACTGCTTTCTTATTACACCATTCATCTGACCTGCAGGTGAAGTAGTACCTATTAACACCCATAGATCCCATCTTGGAGTCAACAGAGCCTGAACAGTACTGGCTGCGGACAGAAACAGTGGCAGCTGTCATTGCTACTAAAACCTCCAGATTTTGTGGTGCTACATTTCAGTCACAAGGAGACCGTTCTGAAAAGCCCCAGATCTCTATTGCAGTTCTAAGAAACCAGAACAATTATTTCCAAGTTAGGTTACTCATGTTGCTGAGCAGTTAGAACTCTGTTAACTCCTGAGAGTCTGAATTGGCAGTTCTCAGTTTGCCTTCGACATGTACCAACAACTGGAAAACAGAAGAATGCTCAACCCACGAGCTCTGAGGAGAAAATGTCTAGAGGGCAGCATGAAGCACTGGTTGAAGACAAAGTTATAAATAAAAGGATGCATCCTATGGTGCACCATTAGGTTGGTGCAGGACAGCAAAAATCACTCATCTTCCTATTCCATAACACCTACAAGGGATTAGTTTGTTAAACTCAGATCTTCGGATGGAAAATACAGCAAACTGCTACAGTTCCCTTGTAGTGCCAGAATAAATGTCCCAGAGTGATGAGACACACAGTTCTACAATAAAACACAAAATACTGGCAACTTACATTCCACTAACATTGATTTTATGTTTCCTATAAAATTTCATTAATAAAGCCTGTTAAAATAATTAAATTTAAACATTGTATTCTGTATCTTTGTGTAAAAACTGGCACTCAGTAGTATGTGAAAGATCCTTTGAAGGCATTGCGTAATTTGTGGCACATTTTTTCCTGTTTCCTACGGAAATAATACTACAATATTAGTCTGTCTGCACACCTCTGATCCAACAGAGCAGCGATCTTCCAGATAAATGCAGCTAACAGGCTCAAAATGCAATAGGTAAAAAACAATCAAGTCTTACAAAAAACAAGCACTCAGGCTTAGGACTGCCCAAGGAGCAGACATCCATGGACCCTATGGATCTTAGAAAGGGAAAGGCTTAATCTGGTATTTGCAGATCTAAAGTCAGTCACAAAATAGAAACCCTTAAGAAATTAACTGTCTTCTTCCCAGGTTGACGTGGAAGGGTAAGGAAGGCCTTGAACATGGGATGGAAAAAAGATGAGACAAAGTTTTCTTGAATCATCTAAGTGCATACAGGCACTGCACTGCCTAGATTACAACACCACCAGCTTGTACTCCAACACTACGTAACCTGTGTTAGAAAACATGCCCAGATGTTTCTAAGGGAAAGCATTTCCTTTTCAGAAAGCCAGCAGTCCTGTACAGCAAGTTGACAGATGAAGTCTTTTCCAGACGATGTACACTCCACGAAAGAGAACCATGTTTTCAGTACGTGCTCTGCTTGTTGTCTACACAATTCAGCTAGGAAGCACCACCTCGAAGAATGCCACAGTATTGCAGAGCAGGAATTCTCCACAATACACTAGAGTTCTGAAAGAGATGACTCAGACCTTTCTTTTGTGCAGAATCCACAGCAGGCAGAAATCTAAATTGTGTAACTCCACTTCTTTAGGAAGAAAAAGTAATTTTTAAAATTACGCTTCCTCATCTTATCATTGTTTTTGTTGGCAATTATTTTGTAAGATGAAACTACAGGATGTTGAGAGAACTTAATGTAAGTAGGGATGCCACTTATTCCACTCATAGTGATGTTCAGAATTGGCAATTTCCAATGTGAAGTGTAAATATCAAGCAAAAATATATACAAGATTTTAACCCATTCCCAGGAATTTACCATAAATTGCTCTGTCTAAAGAATACTTCATAAATACATTTTTTGCAATTCAAAGACTTCAAAGCTCAAAATCTGAGTCAAATACAGCATTCTTCTGATGAAGTGAGTTTCAGATGGCAGTCAGAAATAACAAGGTGTATCTTATTTCCTCTATTTCACAACACTTTTAACTGAAATACACGTAAAGGAATGTGACTGTAAAGCCAGTGAATTGTGGTTGTAGAACAAGTGTGAAAATTTTAGATTGCAAGTAACTTTTCTAACAATCAGTGATGACAGTTTTACACTGTTGAACCACTGCTCACTGTAGTATCCGTATAACGAAGTCTTTTAATACTGTTGAAATCTACCACTGTAACTGCTAATTGGTTCTTAGGGTCAGAATGTATGTATCTAAATTTATCCCCAGATGACACCACATTACTGCTACTCTACAGAGTCTTTGCAAGGCATGACACTGAAAAAGTAACTGCTGCCCTATATAATTCTTAAAATAAGCAATTTCAATCTTACAGCTTTAACATTCTAAAAAAGAAAAAAATCATTAGCAACTACTAGACCAAATTAAGCAATTCACTTCTGGAATATTTTAACAAAGTAATTTATTTCTTATTATAAGTGAAGTTAAGACTAGCACACAGTTGGACTTTTTAAAGATATACTAAAATTCCCAAACAACCTTACATTGGTTAGAAGCTTAAATTACTGATATAATCCTTTAATTATTTACGAGAAAAAAAATAAATCAGAAGTTCACAGCACCATACCTGTGCCCTTGCATGAACCTCCCCAAGGAGACCTGAGTACTGCTGTTCCAGATACGTTTTTTGTTTCTGCCAACAGCTTTCCTGTGCTTTCATCTGGTCAGCCATTTTGCTAAAAGCATCTTCTTGGCTCTGTTGAAGCTCCTTCATAGTATGGGACTTCTTCTTACAAACATACTCTAGGTGAGATATCTGCATGACAAGCATTTAAAAATAAGTACTTTTACCTCTCAAAACATCTTTTTCTTTAATTGTTCATATTGAGCACAGACTATTCCAGCACAAAATCTAAACTCTAATCAAGTTTGTTAAAACTAAGAAAAAGCCTTTCATAACAAATTACTTGAACCTTACAAGAAAATTGAGACATATTTTGGAATAATGAATTTTCATTGGTTTTACTTTTGCCATCCTTAGACCACCTTGCAGATATCTGCTGCCTTCTTTGTTGGAAGCCTGAACTGGACACTTCCCGTGTTTATTTGAAACAAGTGCATTAAATCTAAGTTAAGTTAGTAATCTTGAGTATACGAGTCCTTTAGCAGTTTGCAAGGATTGCAAGTAATAATGAAAAAACAGCCCTTATTTTTACGTTTTGTTTTATTGGAAAGCCAAGACTTTCCATACGTTATTAAGTATTAAAATTATCTCAGGAAATTTTTGCATACAGAATGTTTATTTCACAAGTAGCTCATTAGTTTTTCAACAAGCATGAAGGGATTCACTCTGTGGTTTAACTTTGCAGCTCCCATGCAAACTAGATGGAGGAGTGAATCAAGCTAACAGTGACCTCTAAATACACATGCTTACACTTTGTTACTGGAGAATATCAGCAAGTTACCTCCCAAACAACTCACACAAAACTGCAGAAGAAAAATTTTTTTTTCAGAAACCAAATACAATACAGGTAACACCACTGCCCCAAATCCCTGAAAAGCTGGTAAGTACATGAAAAGAGCTCCAGAGACCTCACAATCAATCTCAATAACCATACTAAATTAAAAAGCAAGAAACAATCCCCCCAAACACTGCGAACTCACTGTTCACTCCTTTCCCTTCCACTTCCTTTTCTCTTCTACCCCATGTGGAAAATAGAGATGTACATCCAGTCCGCATAACCCAACTTTTATACTATCCCTCTTTAGTAATTTTCATTGGCTGCTGGGGTATTTACTAAATGATGGGCAGAGTCAAAACAATTCACTGTAACCAGCCCTGTCCCTTACTCTAGCCAGAAGAGCAGTCATAATTCCAGCAGATGAGAAATGTCCAAAAGAGCTTTTCCCTTCCTATGCCTCAAGAACAAAATGTCAGGGCAGCCAAGATCCGGGGTCGCTCTGCTAGACCATAGGACTGGCCTGATCAATGGAGACAGAACATTAACTGAAATCCTAAAGAGTGGCATACGTTAGTCTGCAGAGCCAGTTTAAGTTATTTTAAAAAAGGTCTTTTCTTTCCTAAAATGCAGGGATTTCTGGGGAGAAAGGCCACATAACCTTAGACGCATTAAAATAATGCAAAAAAGTACAGCTTCTCCCTTCAATAAATATTGACATGTTTTATAAAAATAAGTATCTTCCATTGTATTTCTGAATACAAATTTCATAGTCCAAAAGTTACCATTAAACCAAAAAAATACACTGGCATTTTTTCAGATAGTACCTCTGAATCACAAACATATAATTTAAAAGATGATGTTCCTGGAGTAAGTGCATTTTGTTTCTGTTTTATGCTAAAATAAAGACTTGCTTTATTAGTGTAAATGACTAAGTTCTTTGAATTGCTTCATCAGTAAGATTAATTTATTTTCTTTTAATTAGGTCCCTGTGGCTAATATTGGCTAGTACTATTAGCATGTCCTGCACAGAAAGTGGAGCTTAGAGACTTCATACAGACTTCAGTCACATTTACATGCCCACAGCAATGGCATCAAACTGAGTTGTAGACAAGCCATAATTAATGGTATTGAATTATTAACGTCCAAATTCTTTTTGAAATAAGATGAATGTCAGTCCTTTTTAATGATACTGTGATGTGGACAAATGTCACTGAATTTAATAGAGGTAGCTGGTGCCTAAGGACACTTACCTTCTCATTAGCCCTGTTGAGGTCTAAGATCAGGGCATCAACATTCTCCTGCAAGACTGCACAAAGCTCAGACCACGAGAATCTATCTAGGATGCCTTCTGGTTGTCTTATAAGCACACAGCCTGCTACCAAACGCTGGTATAAGCTATGGAGGAAAGTTAGCTTCTCCTGAGACAGAAAGAAAAATTAACTGTTGTATCTGAACAGTGATAGAATCCAAAGAGATGCATCATATGTGTAGTAATGTGAGCTGCACGCAGCTGAAAAAACCCACAAAGCTCATTCTCAAATCTTTTCAAAATTCAATTCCTTGTTAATATTTGCAGTCATACATATTAAAGCCAGAGCAAGAAAACCGTTTTTACAAGATTTGTCTAATTACCCATAGTATATAAATAAAGAAAGTCCAGTCCTGCAGCAGTTACGATGGCCTGATATAGATAAAAATTTCTGTGCTATTAGTAGATGCAATTTAATCATTCATGTTAACACTTTCAGGTACATTCAAATTGTATCAACTTCCACTAGCTGCATAGCACACAGAAAACTGTCTGATTGACTTGGCAGCACAATACACTGTTTATACAACTATCACTCTAAAGTCTTTTAAAAATCCTTTTTTCATGGATTATGTATGACCAAATACCTAGACAAAATAGGCTTATAGCTTCATCACTCAAATTCCACAAGCCATGTCTCATTCATTTACACTGATTTTAGTCAGTAGTATAATAAATTGATGCAAGTTATAAATAAACTTCAGCAACAACAGCATGCAACAGAAATTCCAGCCTTCATCCTTTTGTAATATATATGCAACTTAGCAACATTGATTAAAACAATAATAGAAAGCTGCACTTCAAATGCCACAAGAAACAGAACCTTTATTCAAAGTCAGTAAACCATTGTAAAGGTTCCCGTTGTTTTCCAGTGGCCTTGGATGATGCTTTACATTAAGAAATGGTGGGTAACCAAGCTGGGAAACTATGGTTTTTCTGAGGCCTTTCCATTACACTTAGGTGCATTTTCCCACAATTACTTCATCACATTTTAAGCAATAAAAAAAATTGTCATTAAGTTGTATTTTAACTTTGTACCTAGTAAATCTACTAATTCCCCAAGGAAAATCCAGTGTGCCACCATTATTACATTTTTGCTTAGGCTGTGATAAACCAAGGATGGTAATTATCCATTTGGTATGAAAAAAAGGCATCTCAAGACCCAAAATCAATTCACACATGTTGAATGCAACCACAGTGTTGTAGACATGCTGACTTTACAATATAGTCAGGCTTCTCGTTTCCTTCACTTTAATCATTATCTGATGTGTTTCAGATAATGAAACAATTCCAGCTGCTTCATGTGGACACTATTTAAATACCAGACTGTAAAAAAGGTGGAAAGAATGTTTCCTTTTTACTCAGTTGGCATCCATGTCCAAATTTGTGGAAGTAATGAGCTCAATATGCATGACAACTATGATAAAGAATATCATTGCTATTGCTAGTACAGAACTGCTTCACTGTGGGGAAAAAGTAACAACATTAACATCTGTAAACAAATATAAGGAGAGAGAGAATAGTTCTGAAGTAAGATTTTGTGAAGCAATTCCCACATATAGCAAACCGCAATAAGCTAACAGGTTACAAATAAGAATTTCTAGGTTTTGTGGCATGCAGGTAAAAGTACCTCAATTCCATGTTTCCTATGTATGAATTGCCATATGAACAGGTAATTAACAACACAGGATGATGATACTACTGTATGTTCCAATTTTAAAACATTTTTGTTAACTTTCAATTTGAAAGAAAGAAATAATAGTCAGGTGTAGCTCCTTAAATAAACTCAGTTGTTAAAAAATTCAAAATACTGGAAGGGTTAAGCTATTAGTTCCGATATATAAGGAAGGAGAACCAGTATGTCCTGAGATCTTGTAGATATTAAACACACATCTCAAAATACGTAACTTAAAATCATATTTTGGGGATAAATCTGTTAAGACCAATAGTAACCATCTGATGTATGTAAATGTATAAAGTTGAGATTAAATAAAGACTCTTTTTGACAGTCATCTTGTCTCTGGTAATACCTCCACATCCTTCTGGTAAGCCCTGGTAAGCTTCTGGATTTCATTTTCAGATTCTGTGGCACGTACTTTCTCCTTCTCCCAGCATTGCCGTGCATTCTGCAGTTCCATTTTTAAAGTTCCTATTAAAGTCTCTCTGTCTGCACACTTAGTGTGCAGATGATTTAACTCTTTATTGGCATCAGTTAGGTTATTCTGAGCTTCCTGTAGAACAGAGGCACGGAACAAAAAGGCTGGTAAGAATTTTACGCCATAAAATGTTACCTTATTCCAGTCCTCAGCATCTGAGGAAGTAAATAGTCATATAGCCACATGTATTCTGAAGACTCCAAGCTAAGCTGACTGTATCTTGTCAGTAACAGAATTTCAAAATTTACAACAGTCCTTCCCCACAGCTTGTAACTAGACAGCATCAGACATCCATCTCAGAGTTAAAAGCTCCATGATGCAGTGACCTTCGGAATCCCCTCTACCCCCACAGCTGAGATGCAGAACGCATGGACGCAAATTATCCTCTTCAGAGTGGAGAGCTCTCAGAGCTTGTGAAAAGATACATTATTTTCGTAAGTAAATCTCTGATCTGTTACAGCTGAGTTGGTATGCAACACAGACAGCTGTTGTTACCCACTGTATTCTTTATCTGCATGATAAAAAAAAAATAAATAGGTGAGTACTCTCTGTGGAGGTTTGACCATGGGAAGACACCAATAATAAGAAATGGTCATAAATACAATCATATTACCAGTACCAAATCTCACAAGGTAAACAAAGAACTTAATACACTACCCATGTTCAGCCAAAAGACTGCTGAGATGGAGTGGACAGATACACATGCTTTCCTCTCCTACAAGCACTGGGATTCCAGCACCACTAAAGTTTGCTAAAGGTCAAACTGAAAGCATTGTTTCTTTTTCATAAAATCATAGCTGCTTATATAGGAAATTTAATAGGAAAGGTACTCCCAAATTCATAAGACAACGGCAACTTTTATTCTTCTTAATGGAAATATTAAAAGATTAAAGCAATGTTAAACTTCTAAGAGAAATGTTTTCAGATTGAATCTAGTTTTCACTCATATATACATGCCTTACAAAGGTGCAGCAACAGAAGCAGAAGTCTTAAGTCTTCTGAACATAAATTAGTAAAGAAAGTTCAGATCAGATGACAGGAGCTCATGTGAAAGTATTAATTCATATGAAGATTCAATGAGTGTTGCAGAAGTATTTGTGACTAAAGTGAAGTCATAAAGCAGCACATCCCCAGCAAAAGATTCTGAGAAACACTGGGAGTGGAGACATTCTATTTTGGCAGTAATATAATACACTGCCAGTTGGGAGATTAAGTTTAACCATGACCTCAGGACTTCCTCACTCCATTGGCCACTGATGTAACCAGACAGGACATTACAAAAGCGGTGTGTCAGCCAAAAAGAGAGACAAAGAATGTTCCTGCTCAGAAACTAAAGAAAAGGGTTCACAAGTGTTTTTATCAGTTCCCAGGTAGATTTTATTCTAAGAATTTTGGGCTGCATATTTTACAACTGTTAAGGATGACCTGATGCTTCATACATACATGTCTGATAAACACAAACAAAAAAAATAAATTAACAAAGTAAAGGACATCTTTGATAAAATGTGCTTCTATATGATGGTAATGTACTTTTATATGAAGGTAATTAAATTCTCTTCTCCTTTTCTTTAGCAAAATAGTTAAAAAAAAAAAAAAAAAAAACCCTGATGCTGATTTCGGTATAAAACAATACTTTGCAAACTGATAAATCTATTTCAAATTATTTCAGAAGTGCAACCAGTGAAATGATCAGTTACGTAGTCTAAGGTGGTAACCAGAATAAAGCAGCACGGCTTCCCATAAGCATGCAAGGTAAACTAGTATGCTCAACAGAATACAGTGATACAGAGACTGATTCTGATAAGAAAATCCACAAACATAATTTTTGCAAAACTTTGAAATTTTATGTTAAGTTATGAAATCATACCTTAACGTCTTGACTTAAAGTACACATTTTCTTTTTGGATACCTCAAGTTCTTTTGTGATCTTTTCACACAAAGACTTCATTCTCCCAAGCTGTGAAAAATATGGAGGTCAAACAGGCTTTTACAGGAAGGCTACATTATCACTTGACTATAAAAAAAGAATTTTGTATATAAATGTAAAAAAAAAAAAATTGTTTTCAGTTCCTTTAGCAATATTTATACTCCATGCAATCTAAATAATGTGCCATTACAAAAGCACTAAATAACTTTTTAATAATGATTTAAGATAAAAAGCAGTGGCAGAATCCCAAACCGAATCCACTATTAACTTTCCCATTAACTGGCAAAATATCTGACAAAAACACAGACTTCAAAATGCATTTAAAACTGTAGTAACTTCAGATTACTATCCAGGGAGTGGCATGAGAAAACAAGTTTTCCAAGTGTCCATTTGCAGAAATTGTTCAGCAACGAGCATGGTGTCTACTTCTTACTGAGCACGGGATAGTACTCACATACCCATAAAAAGAGCAATATTCCTGAGAGGCAAGGTGAGTACTGAACTGTTGGTGGTGTTACAAGCCACCACCTTAGAAGTAGCTCATGAGATAATGTGTACTAGCTTCACTTTCCACTTTCAAGAAAGATAACAACACATTATAATCTGTATCCTTGGTTCCCTGATGATGAGGTTAGCAATACAAATGTCTGAAAGAAAGCATCGAATAGAAACGTATTATAGTGCAGGTTACTGCCAGCACTTGAGCATCAAGGAGCAGCTCAGAAGTGAAATAACCCATCTACAAAATTTACAAATTACTTTGGAAATTGTATTTTTGTTTGGTCTCAGATCAGGACACCTGGTAGAACCCTTAGAAACAACTACAGTAAAATCCAGAGGGCTACTGGAATATTTCCAGTCTTTTTGTTGGTTTACTAGTCTTCTCTCTCTCCCCTAACATATTCTAGCCTCTGTACTCAAAAGCTTGTTATGCGTTAAAATCTACCTTTCAGTCACACAAATGAAGCAGATCGTTTAATCTAATGTTTAACACAGGAAGTTAAAGGTGACACATGACAAGTTTCATGTATACATTCAGGTGTACATGTATATTAATAACTCCATCAATACGTGGGGTCTTGTTGAAAATCTCTCTATAAAAAGAACCACTACATAATTACTCAAAACTAAACCCTTACTGCTGTGTATTAAAACATCCTGTTTTTATTGCACAGTGCCCTTCATAGTCCCTTTGTGCATTATTGTATTATTAAAAAGTTTTATTACTAAACATATCTAACATATAAAAAGCCAAAAGCAGTGTTATCCGTGGGGGTGGGGGTAATCAAGAAGGACAGAGCACTGCCCTTTCTGTGCACCATGAAGGTGCTCAGTGATCTCTGGCTCCATATGACAACTTCAGGGTCAGTCACACGCAGTCCTACTGGGAAGTCTTGTGGCAGGTCATCAGTTGGTCCTGCTCTGCTTGCGATTTATTTTCCTTGACAGTTCATTCTTCTTTCTGTCAGAATACTCTCTTTGCTTTCTTAGCAGCCACCCCCTTGGTCTCCCCACTGCTGTCTCTGGCACAGTTTCACAACAAAGCACATCACTAAGCCAAAGCCTGCTGAGTCGACTTTTCAACTGTGCTGCCTGTCACGTGATGTTCCTCCTCCCAAATAACAATTCGCTGTGGGTAATATGTTCCTAGTTACTCTGCAGCTTCCAGACTTGGGTCTCAGAAGAGTTTCATAATGACTATACACATCGGTTCTCTTATCTCACTGGGAGAGACCAAACAGTGCTTGCTGTTTACAAAAGTATAATTGTTTCCATGGTCACTTATTTTTGTGCCCATTGAACAAATTCAAAGGTCTTGCGGGAGATCATTCTTTTCCCAATAAAAGGGGCAAAGCCGATATACTTTTCTTCTGTTTTTTTCTTTTTTTTTTTTTTTTTTTAAACGTTGTGAGTGACTAGCTAGCTTATGCATTTGTCAAAACAAAAGACAAAATCGAGAAATGAAAAAAACAGTGCAGGCATTTTTACAATCTTATCACACCTTGCCTTTCTGTTTTTGCCAATTTTATCCAAAGATAAGCTAATTACAAGTTTCCCCCCCCCTTCCCATTTTAAAAGGGGGAAAGCCGATTTTTTTTTTTTTTTTTTTTTTTTTTTTTTTTTTTTTTTTTTAAACGTTGTGAGTGACTAGCTAGCTTATGCATTTGTCAAAACAAAAGACAAAATCGAGAAATGAAAAAAACAGTGCAGGCATTTTTACAATCTTATCACACCTTGCCTTTCTGTTTTTGCCAATTTTATCCAAAGATAAGCTAATTACAAGTTTGTACAGAAATCTTTAACAGTGCAGTTAACTTCTCTCTGCAGCCTTTAAAGCCATATATTCATAAAACATCTACACCCAAGAGGACTAATTTAATCGCATTAGCAATACAAATGAGAAAATAAATGCAAGATTGTGACTTTTCAGTCAGTGAAATAAAAGGCCAGTAGGGCTGCATGGAAAACATTTGATTTTTTTTCAAGGGTAACAATTCCAAAACTGAAATATTTCCCTTATTGCCTTAGATACTTTAGAGAAAGTATTGTCATGGTCCTATTTTACTTGAAAAGACCTCAGAACAGCACCAAAAGAGATTTCATTGTAAGCACACTCATCTCAGAAAATTCTGCCACTGTTTAAATGTACAAGGGCATGCACATTTATATAACTGACACCAGTGACTGCTGAGGCTCAAGTGTTGCGTATTTAGGAATATTGTGGTATACATGGCGCAACTCTTAAACCATAATATTTTACTGAAATCCTAGATATGAACAGTTCTGTTTCCTGAATGTTTATTGAAAAAATAACACCAACAGTGTTAATAAGAAAAACATATTAAAAAACAAGCAAACAAACAAACAACAAAAAAACCCCACTTCCTTTCCCTGTCGCCCCCAAATGTAAGTGAAACTTCACTGTAGGGCAAGCTGAGAGAAATTGTAGTGACAGAGATTACTTCTTTCGGTATATGTGAAGCTGTCAACTCAACATTCCCACTCTTCTGACCTTTTTTACAAGCAAAGCGTATGTACTGCTGCTGGCCGAAGGCGATACATATAGAGCCAAACAGTGCAAGCGTTACCTCATTAGACGTATCTTCCAGCTTGTTCTGGTAAGCTGTCAAGGTACACCTCAAAGTCTCAAGGACAGAGAGGCTTGGAGGTTTATCTTTGTCCTTACAAGTGCCTGAAGAAAAATACAGAATGAAAATTAAGCCTTAAAGCCACAGAGAGAAAACTACTCCCCTGGATGAGAGGTATTAAAATTAGTTAGGGCTTCAGTGACAATACCAAACACTGAACAGCAGCCTTGTTTGCCACAAGAGATGCAGCTGAATAGCCATACTTTCACAGCAAATACATCTGAAAGACATTTGTATAAAAGCTTGCATACAAGATACAGAACTGTAAATTCTGGATTACATTTCTACCTAATGTATTTGGTATGCAGTCTCGCATATAATTTCTACTGTGATCAAGGCTGTGTCATTCAGTCAGACCAGCCAACTTTAAAACCACACAATAACACACTTCGAAAAACATGTTGCCTGGAAGTTAAGTATGTTACACTTTTCCTGACATTATTTTGCTGTTGTGACTAAGCATGCATATTATAATGTAGTACTTCATTTACTCAAAGCTTTACCGAGCCAAAGATCACATGACTGTTATGCTTGGAGAGGTCTTAAAAACCTTTTAAATGATCTTGAATTTCATTCCAAAGGAAATAGTAAAAAAAATTTATTATCTGTCTGCAGAGTCCTACATAACGTTTCAATTATAAATCTTAAAGCTGATATATCCATTATACACACACTACACTTATTTATTAAACCGTTAGATGGAGACTTCTGATCTGGTTGCCTTAATTAGGGACATATGAACAAGTCTGAGCATTCCAAAGTCTTTAGTACAATGTACTAAGAAAGCAAAACAACACTGTATTGATCAGAAGGTCACAAGATGTCAGCTGATATTAAATTTCCAAGAACAAACTATTCATTTTTTTCTGGTGTTACAGCAAAATACTAGGTTATTGACAGATTCTTCTCAGCATTACTTATATTCATATGCAGCATTTAGAAACTTATTTTGTAACAAATTATCGTACAATCTTTACCATAAGTCTTAAGATGTTTTATAAGCAAAACTAACTTTACCAACACTAACAGCATCCCTATTTTGCAAAAGAAGTGAACAAGTCTCTGGCATCGGAACTACAGAGAGGCTAAACAATCATGATTCCAAGCAAAACTAGAAGATGATACAGGTCTTTTATCACCTCTGAATGGTCAGTGTCACTAAGCAATCTATACCTAGGGCGGCTCATAAAGTCAAATCAGATACTGAACTCTAAGTCTCTTTTTTGGATCTCCATAAAACTTTGTCAGTTATAGGAGGTGCACTTACAGACTTGCAGGGTAGGGGTTTTTTTCAGGAATCCTACAGTTAGTGTTCACTAATAAGCATGATACTCTACTCAAAGCACTATACAAAAATAATGTAGATTTGTCCTGTAGGCTGCAAATAGTGCACCAATGGTAGTCAGAGGAAAACTTCACATGTATGCACCAGTCGGAAAGTATTGCCAACAGCCGCTCTGAAATTTTTTTCAATTAATTAGCCTTTTCTCTCTCAACCCTTTGACAATACCAGAAGGCATAGAGTACTACTCAGATCGGATAATAACTTCTCACTTCAACTTGCCTGTGAACTGTTACTGTCAAAGTCACACCTAGTCAAACCAATGCAGGCTTGCAAGATCACTTTCAGTAACAGGAGCAAAACCTGCTCTACAGCATGCAAGTGAATTTAAAAAGGCGGCATGTCCCAGGGACAGACTCTGCTCTGTCCTATCAGCCACTCCAGTCGACACCTATTCACTAGTTTCTAAAGCTCTACAGAGTCAGGGAAAAGCAAAATCTTCTTAATGAAACTCCAGTGCCTTTAACCAAGCCTCTGAGTCCTACAGATGTCCCAAATAGCAACGTAGAATCAACCTAAGAACAATTCATAAAATTTCGTGAGAGTTTAGATTTCACATTTAATAAAGAGATTAGTAACACTTTACTATCATTTTTACCTCTTAACCGCAGCTGTAGCTAAGGACGCATAGGCTTCCAATCCTGTCTTCTCAATTACAAAAGCCACTTCTCATTACTACCCACTGTAGGAACATTTTGCAGTGATCTTGCTGCACAGAAAAAAGCTTCTAGCTCTACAGAAGCTGTAACTCACAATTCTCATTCAGTTTAAAATAATACCTATTAAATCAATCTAGGGGGTGTCTTCTACCCCATAGCTTTCATCAAGCATCTAAATAATGTATCTTCATTTCTAAAGTCCAAGCCTGCAATGCTGTCACCAAAACACACCTCTGAACTATCTAAACTGACATCACATTTGCCAAACTCAGACTTTTGCCAGTAAGCTTTTCACGCTGATGTTCCTTGCCTTTACTGCAAACCCATTTTCTAGACAGCCCAGCCTGCCAACAGATTCTACCATCCTGCCCTTGCTGAAAACAAGCCTATTGCTTTAACACTGGCCAAACGTTGTCTGTCCTCACGGCACTGGTGAGGCCTCACCTCAAGTACTGTGTCCAGTTTTGGGCCCCTTACCACAAAAAAGACATAGAGGTGCTGGAGCGGGTCCAGAGAAGGGCAATGAAGCTGGTGAGGGGTCTGGAGCACAAGTCTTATGAGGAGAGGCTGAGGGAGCTGGGGTTGTTCAGTCTGGAGAAGAGGAGGCTGAGGGGAGACCTTATCGCTCCCTGTAATCTACCTGAAGGGGGGTGTAGAGAAGCGGGGGTCGGTCTCGTCTCTCAAGTCACAGGAGATAGGACAAGGGGAAATGGCCTTAAGTTGCACCAGGGGAGGTTTAGAATGGATATTATGAAACATTTCTTCATGGAAAGGGTTATCCAGCATTGGAATAGGCTGCCCAGGGAAGTGGTTGAGGCACCATCCCTGGAGGTGTTCAAAAGATGGGTAGACATGGTCCTCAGGAATATGGCTTGGTAATTTTTATTTCCTATTTCTTATTTATTTTTTTGTCAGATTTAGGTTGATGGTTGGACTAGATGATCTTTAAGGTCCCTTCCAACCTAGACGATTCTATGATTCTATGAGCTACGCAGGAGACATGCAACATAATCTAAATGGCTCTCTCTTGCTGGACAGGGTCTGTTGCAGCAATGAGGAAGAAAAAACCCAATACTTGAAGCACTTGCCCAGTCTCACCTAAGAGTTTGGGGGAAGGATTTTGGGAAAATGCCAGGTTCAACTGGAGGTGTTCAAGTGAGTTAACACAGCTGCTGTTTCACAATTTCTACTAAAAGTACTAGGCCTGGCTTGGACAGAGTTAATTTTCTTCATAGGTGCTGTGTTCTAGATTTTTGACCAAAACAGTACTGGTGGCCTGCATTAAACAGTGACACAAACTTAAAGCAGCTAACACCCTTAGCACTTTATATTTAGTGCACTTTTTTTTCAGATTGCTACAAACCACAATTATTTACTGTTCCTGAAATGAAGACAAATTTCCCTGAGCACAAACCCTGCTGTTGAATAACTGTAAAATACAATAAACTGAAATCATGCATATTACCCAAAAAGAATAACAATATTATGGCAAATTCATAAAGGTCACTTAAAAAGGAGAAGACATGGATTTAATTTGGTTTTTAATCTTAAAAATATAGTCTTCTTTTTCCTATATAGCCAAATAGTTACAGTCTAATCATCACTTAAGTGAAGGGGCTGGACCTTTAATATTGACAGATTTTTAAGTAGATCTCTCAACCACTTAAGTCGAAAGTTAAAAACCAAAAATAACAAAGAAAGACTGCCCAGTCAGCTGTGGCTCATGTAGCCCCTCATCCGCTAATTGTACTACAAAGATTTATTTAGGTTTTTAAATTTTATTGGCACCTAGCCATTCCTATTTCAAATATGATTACATTAAACATTTTTTTGAAAATTGTCATACTATTAGATAATAAATTTGTAGGTACCACACAGTAAGGCAATAGCATTAGAAAATTAAGTTTCACACTTAGAAGCATAATAAATATGTAGAACAAATGTCTTAGTGTCCACTTTAATATTAGCCATAAAGACTCAATCCACAGCAAAGCTAAATGTTACTTTCTGCCTCAATTGAGCCTCTGCAGAGATGCTGAAGCTTAAGAAAAAAAGAGCTCTTTAAATAAGATCTTTCAAAGTTTACTTTAAACAAAGCAAATTAATACTGAAGTTACTGTTACTGAATCCCTAGATTATAGAAACAGGTCAAAGCTGTTCTCTGCAAGGTTTACCACTAGGGAGAACAGAAAACCTACCCAAAAGACAATTACTGCTTTGGAAACTGCACTTTGGCAGCAGCATCCAGCTCCCCCCAGAATTGCTGAAGCCCCTCTGGGCATGCGGAACTTTGCAAGATTGAGGAAAACATACAGTTTTGAAGAGCTTTTCAGTCTGACTTATCTACAGGTATTACCCACAGGAATTACATTTATAATTACAGAATAAGACTGATACCAGTTCCCAAATAAAACATCATATAGCCCATGTGAGGAAATCAATGCATCACAGACTCAAGGCTAGTCTTTTAAGGACAACAGAAATCTCAATAAGTTCCTTTATTCAATTTTAAGTATACCAGGCCTCAAAAAAAAATATTTTTGTGCAGATACAAAAAAATATGCATCTTCATTTAAAGATGTTATATGACCCATTTATGTCTACTGTTGCTAAAAAATGCAGAAAAAGTCACCATTTACATAAAATAAACCCATTTGCTCATTAAGCAACATTTTGCCTGTTTTCTTACAGTTTACTTGCACTGTAAGTTGGAAGCATTTTGTGTCTAGTATGTGACTTTCTAACAGGAACCACACACAGAAAACTTTCATAGATAGTTTTAAATGAAGATTTTTTTAAAGTGTATTATTTTCACCTTAAAAAAAATACTAGCTTTGATGTGAAAGTTCACCTTGTTTATGTCAGCCACTTTTTCAAATGTGTAAGCAGGCAGCAGTTTGTTGAGTTTGATATGATAATTACATATAAAGCTAGGTAGCAGAGTGATAACCAATGACTTACAATTTTAATGAAAGTGGAGAAATATTTGTTCTGCATTAGATCAAATGAATGCAACATAGTAGTAGTCCACAATCAACAGTAAAAAGTATTGTGTTATATCATGTGTCCTACACAACCTTTTTGAATATATGACCTTTAAGTTGCTGAAGGTTGCCTCAGAATTTGGCTCAGTTCAGGCAAAACATCTGTTCCCTTTGCAGGTATACTGTAAGGACTTTTTTCTCAGTTGGATTTAGAGCACAGCAAGTGAGCCCTTTTCTGACCGATCATATACACCCCAGCATTTGTAAATCAAGCTCTGGGCTGACAACAGCAGGTCCACATTCCGTCACCCTTTCTCAGCTAGCAAGGCCATTTGACTGCTGTGAGAACTGCTCTTAACATGTCATCAAATCAAAGCATGTTGAGAGGAGGGAATGCAAGAGGCATCTGCAGAATTCCCACAATGTAGTGACTTTGGAACACTGACAGATGCATCTGTCATTTTATACCTTCAACTAACCTGCTGTCCGCTGGCCTGACATAGCAAAGCTGTCCAAGAGTAACTCCAGCTCTCTCATGTTGTTTTCATACGTCTCTGTTAGAAAGACCTGGTGTTTCTTGGCCTTTATTTGACAGGAGAGACAGACAAGACAAGAGGGGAAAAAAAGAAACCCATTAAAATGGTAAACAGAAGAAATACAGATCACAATGGTATTTTTGTTCCCCTTTAAATTTAAATTCCTGATATATTTCTTATTACTCCTTTTCTTAAGTGAAGAGACTTAACAAAACACGCCAAATAAGTAACAAAGAACCCTGAAACACACTTTAAAAAGAATGAAAGACTTCAGGTAGCCAAAAGAAAAAATGGTTGTACTAAAACTAGATCTTCTTCTGCTTTAAAAATATCTTAATGAACATTAATTATCAGCTACCCATCTATGCAGGCAATGAAATCTATTGTTACACCCTACAAGGGCATCCAGAAAGACACCAAACTACTGGCAGACAGGCTAGAAATTCATGATTTGGCACTCAGTCAAATCCCACACCTATTCTCATTGCAAACCTGCCTCCTTTGATTGTAAGTACCTTCCATGCTGGATAGTGATTTCTTCAATATCAAAAACTCCTCCTTAGGCATGGAATATAAAGCAGCAGAGTCCTTCAGCTCCTATCACTGAATTTTCTTAAAGAAACTGTTCACTAAGTACAGCCTATTGTTCAAATTAAGACAGTGGCTTTATTCTGAAGGCAGAAAGGTATTACAGCAGATTTTTTAATCACTGTAATAGAAAGGCTATATCAAATGATTCCTTCAAATTATATCTGATATTAAAACTTCTGATTTTTAAAGATGTGCACCTGTAATTCCAGACAAAACCAAGGTCCTCTTGGACATCTGTAGTTCTGACATGTAACGTACAGTTTTAGTAGCCGACTGACAAAAAGTAATACATCTCAGCAGTTTAGGAAACAAAAAAACAAACCCCAAACCCCTCAACAACCCCTCCCCCCCAGATCAACAGGGTACTAGATTTAAATAACTTCTTGATTTTCTTATGACAAAGGTTACTCTCAAAGATGTCTCATTGCTTTTAATGACTCCATTTATTTTTATTCTAAATTCTAACACCTATTTCAGTAATTTACCTTTCTACTTGGTTATGGAAGGTTACCGTTTTTGTATTGAGAAAAATCCTACAGTTTTCTATGATATCTATAAACTATTGCTTTAGTTATGCTTCACTGCATGTGTAAGGATCCAGTCAATTTCTCAAGTGTGGGACATTGCTACATACTGGTAGCATATAACTGTCAGGCTAAAAAACCAAGAAATGCATTTAATTCTCTGCAGTGTTCTTCACTATTCAGCTTAAATATTTTATAAATTTGCTTTACTCTTTCAATTCTAATTATATGTACTGTATATCAACTAATATATTATTCATATGTGTACTTCAGTGTTAGGTCCCCTGTAGCATTTACACGCCTTTCCTTGTGTGAGGGTTTGCACTTCACTTCATAAAGAATTTCCAAACCACTTCTATATATTCAAAAATAACTAACTCTTAATTCTTCCTCTATAAAATTATCTATATAAATAGAGCTCGTAACTGCTGAGCTCCAGTAAAAACATTTTATGGGATGCAAACACATTAAAAAAATTTACTCTCATGTACTGATATAATCTCAAAGACCTCACATATTACAAATAAGAAAATACATCAATATGATCAGCATCACAATAAAATAAATACTCTTTTCACATAAACCACTTCAGCACAGCCAAGGTCAGACTAAATTTTCCCAGAAAAACCTTTTCCCAGGGAAAAGTCAAATGTGAGAATTATTTTTTTCAATCTCCTCATGCAATTTCTTCATTTAGTTTAATTAATTTATCACAATTTGGTCAGTATATTCCAGTTTATTCAGCCTTCAACACTTTTCTGTGCTCTATTTTCTAACTGCATCTACCCCTCCCTAAGCCAATTTCAGTCTCTTTTTCAACAGCAATAAAGATCGACAGGAAATTCCTTACACTAGCCAGTTTCTCTACACTTAAGCTGAAAGGTATTTAGTATCTTTCTTTTCTAACTCCCATTTTCAATCACTGTCCTCATTATCAGAAATTGAAGAAACATACTGTAAACTACAGTGATGGAAATCCAGGCACAGGTTAAGAGTCCAAAAGGACCTGAACATATCGATCTAATTTCTTATGTCTCACTGACAGGTATCTAATAAGAATGTGTAGAGTCATAAAATCATGGAATAATTTAAGCTGACAGGATCTCTGGAAGTCATCTGGTCCCACTTCCCATTCAAAGCAGGGCCAAAGTCAGGTTAGATTGCTCAGAGCCTTGTCCAGACAAGTTTTGAGTATCCTCAAGGATGGAGTTTCAACAACCCCTCCAGGCAACCTGCTCCAGTATCTCACAATGCTCACTATGAAGTTGATTTTTTTTTGCCTTACAGGTAATTAGAATTTCCCTTTCTAAAACTTCTGTTTTCTCTCATACTTTCACTGTACAGTTCTAGGAGAGTGTAGCTCCATCTTCTCTGTAAGCACCCATTTAATAGTTTGTGGCAGTAGTTGTAACTCTCTTAGTTTTCCTTTTTTCAGTCTGAAGAAATACAGCAAGTATACATAACTATTTTCTTTGGAAAAAACAATGGAGTCCACAAGTGTAGAAGTCAAACATAATCAACTGCAGCTGCTGAAAGAGATCTTCTGCCAGATCCAACTATGTCAGGAGATGAGATTACTTCCCTTTCAGCAACTCCCTCCATTGTCATGTTTGTGTTAGGGGACGCCATTCCTGCAGAATTACTGGAAAGGTACTGGTGTGACCGTTCCCTAAATTACTTCCAAGGGGAAATCCAGGTGACAAAGTGCTAAAGCCTTTACTTAAAGAGAGTTTGCTTCCCCGACCACAATTAGTAGAAATAGGTGAAAGAACACTTGTAAAGTAAGCCTTCTACTGACTTTGCTTGACTTTTCTGCACACTGGGGGAACACTCCTGATCTTGGAGATGATCCTTGAAAATGACCTTGAAAATAAGAGGCAGCAGGAGGCCTGCATGGATGCACAAGATGCTCCTGACTAAATTCAAATAACAGGAAGCATAAAGGAGATGGAAGCAGGCATAGATGACCTGGAAGAAAGACAGATGCCATCCAAGCGTGGAGGGATATGCTTAGGAAAGCCAAAATCCACCTGAAGTTGAATCTGGCAAGGGATGCGAAGGGCAACAGGAAAGGCTTCCTAACATACATCAGAAGCAAAAGGAAGACTAGGCAAAATGTGGACCCACTGCTGAACGGGGCAGCAGATTTGTTACCAAGAATACAGAAAAGGCCTTCTCAATGCCTTTTTCACCTCAGTCTTTACTGATAGAACCTGCCTTCAGAAATCAGTGATAAAGTCTTCTTATGAAGTTTGCATGAACACTTGATAATTTAAAATTAATATATATAATTAATAAATAAATTTATATATATATATAAAAATATATATAATTAATTAATAAATATATTAGGAGTATTTCCTATACCCCCCCAAAACAATTCCTTCCCTCACAGAATAGGAGGCCAGAAACCAAACAATATGGGAGCAAAGTCATATTTTCTGAACACAGAATACATTCTGAATTGTAGCATATACAATGCTCCCCCAAGTCAAACTTCATAACCTTAAGAAGGCCCCTATTATCACAAAATATCCCTTGAGGACAAAAGAATTTTTGGTAGAAAAATGCATTTGGCAACATATTTACTTAACCATCAATTTTTAAACACAACTGCACTTTTCAAGAAATTAAGAATAGAAGCCAAGTATTTTTCAACACAAGTACAGAGGCTCCAACCAGGAGAAAATCTTTTTTCCAAATGCTTTGTATCCTTATCCATAAGAATAACCAGAATTATTAGGAAAAGCCACTAATAAAAATTATTGCACTGTCAGAATTACACTAATCTTACAGAATTAGGGTATTTACATTTATCTGGGCAATTCCCTACTATCTTGGTTGCATTTTCCTTAACCACCAGTATCCAATTTTGGTATCATTCCACTACCAGTTCTGGGACAGAAATGCCATCCCATTGATTTTTCAGCATTTTCCAAAGGCTATTGTTGAACAAAATAAATGCAAACTCTGTGCATACTTCCAGAATAACCCACATGACCTTCAGACACATGGCCTGTATCTGAAGTTCAGTAGCATTTAAAAAAAACCCATGTAGACAGGGGTTCTAGGCCTTTTCGAAATTAACGTATTAAACCCCCAGCAGTATTATGCAGGGAAGTGGGGTCCAGTCCTACAACAAACTGCTATTATTCCAAGAGGAGTTTTCTCTACTTTGTTTATAGTTACAGGGATTTTCCTGTGTGACTGTCTTGAACACAGACTAATCCTCCCACTCATACTGAGTACAAATCCCACCTGACGATGGCAGAGCAAGTGCCACAGCCAGAACTACCCACACAGCCACCAAAACGCAGTATGTTCAGATACTCCTTGAAAAGCATTTGGATGAGTTCTTTAAAAAAGCATCAGAATGTTTAACAGGCACGACCCTGGGGGAACAAAATCAAAGCATTTATAGAAAAAGGCTCCAAATCACTGCTCCACAGTTAACAAAAAATTAGTTTTACTTGAGTGATATTCTGTATTAGCAGAATAGTGGCACAAATTTTAAGCAAACAAGCATAAATTGCAGTCTAAAAAACAAAACAAAACCCTCAGTGACAATCTTCCTCCTTAGGCTACTATTTATTTTTGCTCAAATTATCTAACTACTGAATACTTAATAGAGTTTCTTTATTTTCTAGTATTAGCTAGAATTTTCTGAAGTCTATAGAGGGGTTTTTAAAAGGTGTCTACCCACTAGTGTAAATTAAATACAATTACTCAAGAAATGTAGTGTCTCGGTTTTACTCACAGTCCTGGTTTGACAAAATAACCTCACCTGAAATAAAATTAATCAAAATTGCTCAGATTTATATGGAACTATTTTAGCCCTCTAAAGAGAGAGTTCCAACAACCTTTTGGTGGGAGAGAATGTCACAAAGTATTACTTTGGGTTTGGGTTTGCTTGGTTTTTAGTCAGAAAATTTTTCAAGAACTGGCAACTTTAAAAGCAATTTTTACATGCCTCTCTTCAAACACTGGGTGTTTGAGTGGCCTCTCCACTTACAGAATAAATTACAGACTTGGTTTCTTTGTAGAAGATCATTTAAGTACATGCTTCAGACTGACTGGTCCTCTTAAACTAGGACAGTAACAGAAGTAGCATCTGGGTAGAAACATTGCACCCCTGAGTTAAGGCAAGCAAAACTAGAATCAAGGGAACGTAACATTTAACAATCGTTAGCCCAAAACTAATGAAGACTGCATCTCAGTTTTTTTAAATTGAAAGAAAAATCTCTATTCACAATAAATCATATAGATGAGATTTACATCTTTGCCATTGAGTACCAGATTCCGCTCCACAGAATTTGTAGAACAGAACCATAATCTTCAGGGTGTTCAGTCAATACTTAAGACACTTCTGTTAAAGAATAATGGTTAATGCCTGTGTCCAGGAACTAGATTCTCAAACACTTCTGTTCTGACTTCCAGCTCATGATAATCTACAAGGTGCTACAGACAGGTGAGATATATAGTGCATGGCTGCATGCATGGCTGTAGGAGAAAGACTGACGTGCTACGCAGAAAAAGACAGGCTCTTGGTGTAATCTATTACACTACTTATACAATAATTATGCTACTCCTGATAGTATCTATACAAAGGGGGGGAAATGACTACACAGTTCTTCCAAATTAAAGGAAATTATACTAAAATACACTCTTTTTAATTACTTCTATTTCCTTACATGCATTCTGGTGAATTAGCAAGTTCACCAAATTTCAATATATACTTCTCATAAAATAAAGGTTCAGTGTTCTCCCGCTTGTCCAGTACTAAGAATTAAAGATCATCCGCTATTAGGTGCCAGAAATGTAAATATCCTGAGTAATTTTAAAAACTATTAAAGACAACCCTTATTCTTTCCATGGGGCAAGAATACAGCTGGGGCTGTTTCAACTTAAAACAAGTTCTGAATCACTATGGCCATACTTCCAAATTCCTATTCTTCAAGCTAAGAATTTCTAAAAACCCTAGCTGGAAATAACGACAAGCCTGAGATCAATTTCCTCAGAAAAACATAATGGAAATCTTGAGAGCCTGCTCATGCTGAACATTCATAAGCAGTTTTGTTTGATACCAACTGAACCTATCACATTTGATCCATGCAAATTTCTGGCAAACTTCTGCCACATGCTGATATTTAAAATTAAAAGCAGCATAACTACTTTACTATACATTCAGCTAAGCCATAAAAAAAATATTCTTTTTTTTTCATATAGAGTTTCTAAAGAACGTATTTCATCCCTGCTTCTTCCGAAAACAAAGAGCCTTCACTGGTTTGGTTATATTTCCCAAATATTTAACAAACAAAAACAGTAACTTGGATTATAGCAGTAGTTTGATAAACCAATATATGATTATCAGACTGGAGCAAGAAAGGACATATTGAGAATATTTTATACTAACAATAGTATAAAATACAAGGAAGTAATGAATAGATCAAGAAAGCAAGAAGGGGAAATGAAAGCAAGAGAACACTGACATTTTCACACAATTTTAGTATAGGTATATGGAAGCCTAGAAACAGCATATGAAATGTTAACTCTACTTAGTTTCTGCTAGAGTCTTCTGCTTTTTCATTTTGGGAAGAAAAATAACAAAAAGCTGTCCAGACTGAGTAAACAAGACCACACACAGGCACTCCTGCTTCCCTAACTAATACAAAAGTCTTCAGGAAAAATATAAAGCCATCCAAGGTGATAAAAATCTAATCCCATAGGGGACCACTAATACAACTCCTCAGAAAATGAGTATTTTTATTACCTGTTCAAGACAATCTTGTGGTTCAGAATCATTTCAGTAAAACAATTAAAACAAGCAGTTCCATGAATAAGACAGTTCTTTTAACTGAGACAATCTATTCTGCTTTTTACCTTTCACTAATGTAATGTTCATTTTGACTACACCATTTAATACTATTTCCATTACCAGAAACCTTGATCATGAACAGAATTTTGTCCTGAAGTTTTGTCAGGTATAACATACATTTTACTAAGGAATACAAAATGAAAAGGAAAATTCGTATCACAGCAACAGCTAGCAAGTGCTCAAGGTTCCTAGTAGAAAATTTTCAGCTTGGAATTGTATTTTATATTTATAAATAGCAATCATTACTGACTGTAGTTAGGGGAGACAGTTGCTTTTGTCTTTTTGTACTCTTTTTGTGCCTGACAAAATGAATTTTCCAGGTTAACTAAGCCAGTAAATGCATTCTAATACATTTACTGGCTGTGATTTTTCTTCAATGTATTAGTTACCAATCTGTCTTGGAAGTGGGTAGCACTAAGGTAATGTGTGGAATAACTCCATCAGCTGAACAGAAGACATCAACAAGTCTGAAGATCTGGTGCGGGTATCCGCTCCTGCTCATGAACTAGCACAATGCCTGTCAGCAGCAGGTAACAGACCACGTTGACCCTCCATGCTCACAGCTCCAAGAGAGAGAAAGGGGAGAAGTTTGCAAGCCAGTATCAAAAACAGTTTACATGGGCTAAGTATAGAAATACTACATATACTGCTACATAATGGAAGGAGAGAATGTCTTCTAGACAACCTAAGATCTTTGCTTTCTTTGCTATGCAACAGTATGGCAAAATTGTTATTCAAAGTAGAGGTGGATAGAGACAGTGGGAAGGCCCCAACTGGTCATAAAAAAGGAGAAAGATTTCAGAAAATAATCCAGTAAAATACATCCAATATGCCAAATCCACACCAAAACAACAATAAAAAAATCCCTCTGCTTTGTCACCTTCAAATAAGCAATTTTCAACAATTTTTACAGTTAAATGCTTCCACTAAAAACCAAATATTATGTGAAATAGAAATAAACAAGCCTACACTGGTAGGTATTAAACTCTGGAGAAGAAAAAGGCTTGGGTAGGAAGATAGAACATTCTCCACAAGGAATCATAATCCATGTCTACAAATTACCTTCTTTCTAAGGAATGCAAACACAAGTTACTCTTTACTCATAGCCATACTTTTAAAATAATCATTTGGTGCAAATAACTCTTCAGTTAAATACATGGTGTACCACTTAAAATACATTTTCCAATTAGCTTCTCCAGTCTATTAGCTGTATTTAAAGCAGAGTAAGATGATGGCAGAGTTCTTCCACAGCTCAGCACAGCAAATGCAGATAATGTTCACAGCATGTTTAAAAAACCCTAAACAATTATTGGCACAGGCCTTTTGTCTTACCATTGCAAGTTCCTCCTGTAATTCTTGGTAGATTTTTTCACTATTCTCTAGTCTCTCAGAGAGGTCTTTAATTACCTTCTTCTTTTCTTCAATCTTCTCATTCATTTGCTTGTTTGTGGAGACGTACTCTCTCTCCAATCTGTAAAGTTTCAGCATTAGAACATTTTTATCGAAAACATTTTTGTGAAGTATACTACATACTTCTAAAGATAATTAATTGATACAGCACATATCATGTTAGCACATTATATGGTTTCTGAAGTTACTTTTTTCTTTTGTTTAACTGAAGAAAGTTATATATTCCTTCTAAGAAAGTCTTTCAAGAAGTGGTTATGTTCTTTTCAGTTACCAATGCTTGTAGGCTTCCAGTCACAGATTTATTTCATCATTTGGATATGGCCCCCAAATTACATACAATAAACAGAACTCATCATATTTCAATTAACACAATAGCTCTCTTTAGAAAGACCATGTCACATATTGCATAATCAACCCTGATTTTAAGTACACAGCTTGCTTCTAAAGTTGACTGAACCTGACTACTTTCTACTCAGAATGGCAGGACTTCAAATTTTTCCACCAGCAGACTGTTCCCAAAATTTTAAAAAGTTCTTGTACTGTATCAGTTCTTGTGGTACTTAAGAAAACAGATGAATAAAGAGCCTGGCATGGCTAAATAGAGAAATTTATTTACCTATTTCTCACAACTCATGAGAAAGCCAGAAGGCCAAACAACAGGAGACAGGAGCAGGGACAGGAATCCAAGGAAGAATTTAGAAAGACTGCCTCAGTATGTAGGTATGGTGTCAGGAAAGCCAAAAGCTCACCTAGAATTGATGTTTGCCAAGGATGACAAAGACAACAAGAAGAGATTTTACCACTACATTAAGGTAAGAAAAAAAATACAGACCTGCTTCTACACAGACCAGTTGATTTATCAACAGCAGGGATAGCGAAGGCCACCACACTCAATGCCTTTTCGCCTCAGTCTTCCCTGACAAGGTCTCCCAAGACTCTACCATCAGTAAAAAGGCTCAAAGAGAACAATTGCTAGCAGTAGGTAAGGATTGAGCCCAGGATTACTTGTAAGAGCAAAACCCATAGGAATTGAAGTGGCCAGCTCACCTACACTCAAAGGTTCTGACAAAGCTGGCCAAAGTGACAACAAGACTGCTCATTATTATCTTTGAAAGGTCACAGAAATTGGGGAAGGTGCTGGCAAATGAAAAAAGGCAAACGTCACACCATGCCCTTCTTAAAAGGGCCAAGGAACTAGAGACCAGTGAGCTTCATTTCAGTCCCCAGAAGGTCACCAAGCAAGGTCATATTCTTTGAAGAACTTTCTGGGCTGAAGAAAGATAAAAAAGGTGATTGGGAACAGTCAGTGAGGATTTATCAAAGCTAAATCATGTCTGGCCAACCCAGTTATATTCCACAATGAAGTAACCAGATCTGTGGACAAAAGGAAAGCAAGTAGGTTAAATATAACTCAACCTGAGCAAGGCTGATCTCATAGCTGGTCCTGGTTTGAGCAGAAGGTTGGACTATAGATCTCCTGCAATCCCTTTCAGCCTGAACTATTCCTTGATGAAAAAAAATAATGTGTCTCACGCAGTATTTTTATAGCCAACTTGGGACTTCAGTCTAGACATGTGAACTACAACATTGATAAAAATGGTTTGATAGAAGATCAGATGGTAGTGGCTGGTGACAGGTGGAATACTATAGGAGTCTGTATTAGAGTCTGTTTAACATCTTTATCCATCACCTGGATTAGGCCAAGAGTGCAATCTCACCAAGTCTGCAGGTAACAGTGAACTGGGTGGGGACAGGTCGCAACACAACACAACTGATACCCTCAAGAGAAGGGCTGCCATTCCCTTGAACCTAGACAGGAAGGAGGAACAGGCCAGCACGAACCTTCTGAGATTCAACAAGGACACATGCAAAGATCTGAATTTAGGAAGCAAGAGCCTCTGCAGTGATGTGGCTGGTAAGCGGCTGTGGAGCAGCTATGCTGAGAAAGGACATGGTAATGTTGGTAGACAGGAGGCTAGCCACAAATCAGCAGCATAGCATACAAGCAGAGACAGCTAAGACCATCCTGGGCTGTATTAGTAGTAGCATAGCCAGATGATCAAGGGAAGTGATTAATTACTTTTTATTTGGTGCTTATTACAACACATATTAGGATAATGACCAGTTTTAAGCACACACCTCCCCCCGTAACACAGGAAAAAAGTTGGAGTGAGCTCAGGGGAGGGTCACCAACATGGTCACGGGCTGAAGTACATATAAGAACTGAGGGAACTTGGTATGTTCAGATGGGGAAGAGGTAACTTCAGAGGGTATAACAGGCCCCCCAATATCTACAAGGAGGTTATCAAGATGATGCAGCCAGTCACTTCATAGCAATGTATGGCTAGAGGACAAGAGACAACAGTCACAAATTGAATCCAAAGAGGTTCAGAGAAGGAGAAACTTCTTCCACCTTAACAACATGTAGTGGAACAAGTTCCCAGAGTGGGTCTGCCATCGCTATTCCTGAAGGTTTTCAAGACCTAACTGGATGAAGCTCTGAGCAACCTGATCTCATAGCTGATCCTGGTTTGAGCAGAAGGTTGGACTATAGATCTCCTGCAATCCCTTTCAACCTGAACTATTCTTTGATGTAACTCTTATAAGTAGGAACATCCAAGTGTCTCTCAGTTCTTTCTCGCTTCTCCTATCACTTCTGTCTCACTAGATCTGAAATTAATACTAAGGGCTCAACATTCTTCCAACTTTGAAACTTTTGAATCAATATTGTCACTTCCTGCCTTTGACTTATTTCTTAAAGATCAACACATCTTCTCAGCTGAAGGACTACTTTATCAGTCCTCCAAATACCTATGTGCTTCTGCTTCAGCCTGGCTGATTTTTTTTTCTTTTAGCTGTAGATGGTTACTTCTTACTCTTAAATAACTTGCCTGTTTCAGTCCCCCAAAGTAGCTTCTACTCCCATAGCTTTCAGAAACACAGCAAAAGCAGTTTCAATTTATTTTATGTCGTGCTCTCAATCCTCAAGAAAAGTAAATTCACATGGAGACCCAAATCCCATGTTGCTTCCAATTTACATAGTGCTACTGGATTCAGAGCTAATTAATAAATTATGCAACCCAGAAAAGGCTGATTGCTTGGTTTCAGTTATTATAACCATCTTTTTCTGAGAAAATAAATTCTAACAGCTTTGAATAGCTTCCAACTTTGGTAACATTTATCCTATATCAAGTCCAGCTAAAAAGTCATACAAGTGTTCTAGCACAACAAATGAAATTCTCCAAGGCTTTCCAAAGACTAAGGCTTAAAGACAAACTCATGAGACTCCTCCAGAAAAAGGGAAAATATGTCAGGATGCCAAATCATGGCTTAAAAGAAAAAGCCAAGCTCCTGACATTGTCTGGAGTCCAAGGACCACAGCCTTCAAAGGTAAGTAGATCAAAGGCTCTTGTATTCTCTCTGAAGGGATCCTGTGAAAGCAATCACTGATATTCACCAATGTTACTGATGTATGTTTCAAAGACTAAAAAGGGCACAGGAAACAGACGCGGCAGTACATGCCCACCTCATGTAATTACTTCAAGGGAACTAAGTATATTGATGTCCATCTGAAATAAAGCTTGACCTTCACTACCTATCTTTATTGAGCTCTGGAAATTTAGGAGTCTGGACTAACAAAATTGTAATAATAACCTGCTTCTGTTTCTTCAGGCTCTATTAACAAAACCACCAACTGCTTGACTGCACTAACTTTCAAGGAAAGGTTTTCTCTGAAATCACAGAAGATAATTTGTTTTCCAAAAACAGCTGGCAGAAGCTGCTAGAAATCAACACATGATTTTAAGTAGTGAGAAGTACTGTTTGCATATTAGACAAAGTTTATTCTGGTACTCAACACACAGAACAGGTGCTTTAAGTAGGCACAAATTCTTTTTTTGTAATAAAAAAGAACCAACATAGTGTAAATCTGCTTTACTGGGAAGAAGTGTTGAACAGAATTATCCAGCTTAGAGAAAAAGTGAACGGCTATTTAAGGTTCTTGTTACTTGTTTTAGTAACACAAATACTTACTTCCCTGTAAGCACCAATACCAAAGCCCCTAATGCAACTGGTACCATAACTGTAAGAACTGTATGTCCTAGTCTTAGCCACAACAAATACATATATTCAGGTGCTTCCTAAAGCAATTCCAGACAAAGAAATCTAGTCCCTAAAAATCCACTCTTTTTTTTAGGATAAGGTTTTTGTTTAAAAGTTGTTCCCATTTTTCCAAAATCTAATTTTTGTGGACCAGAAATACCCTAAACACAAAAAACTTTGCTTCTCAAAGAAACAGCTCCGTACATCTAGATAAAAGATTCCCACAAGGAACAAAATATTATTGAATGTTGCAATGTAATTCACTATGTAACCATTACCTGGTTACATGCTAGTCTGAATAATCTAATACAGAAAACTATCTTTGAGTCTCTCAAGGACTTAGCTAGAAAATTACTACTTACGGATTTTCACAATTTTTAACTAACATAACTAATTTAAAATTTAAAAATCAGATCTCGTGGTAAAACTAGAAGAGTTCTCATGGTTTGGAAAATTCCTGAACAGACGATTATGCCACCATAAAAAATGTTTCTAATTAACTTACATTTTATCTCTGTTATCACCTCTTGATGCTCAGAACATATTGATACTAATAACAGAATGATTCAGACCTTAAAGACTCATATCTCTGTCACTAACCTAGCGGAGTGTAAACGGCAATTTCTAAGTGTTTAGAAAAAATACAGCGTTGTTGAAACAGTGCTCACATTCACCACCTAAAGGGATAGCAGAGCTCCACATGGTAACAATTGGATAGCACTATTCGTGCAGGCAGTACCCCACTTAAGGCTACTTCCTGAAAAAAAAGGTCTTTGCCCATCTGAGAAACTAGAATCAAATGCTCTGACAAACTCTGTTTGTTAAGGAAACTTAAATGCACATGCATAAGACTTTGGGGGACTGGGGTCTAGCGTGAGGAAATCAATCAACCAAGATCGTTCTAAAAAAATGTAGGTGAGGAACTCATACATGTTACGAACTTTCAGTGGTGCCAAGAGGAATCTTCATGAGAGAACCTTGTACTAAAAACTATTACTGAGCACAGATAGCTAAGATAAAACATCTTGTAGCAGCGTGAAGTAAGAATTTGCTAAAATATAGAGGAGTACCTGAGAGAACAGCTGTGATTAAAGTTGAAAAGAACTGAAGATAGACAAATAAAAGTACTGAAATGCCAAGCATGGTAGAAACCCTGAGAATCAAATTGTTTTAGCAATATGTAACTCCCAGTGTAAAGCAATAACACTCCTTTCAGGACCTAGTATGTTTGCATGATGTGTGGTTTACAGTTCTGGTGCATGTGTAGTACTTATATATGTTATTGTATTTTAAAAATTTCATTTATGCAGAATTCATGACTCCATATTTATTTCACATCAAATAATAAAACCAGAACGGGCAATCTTCTGTACTTCTAACTCTTCATTTGTGATTACATCAAGCTGAAATGACCCATGTGTTCGGACTCACATTCATTTTCTAGAGAGCTCTAAAGATAAAAACCAGTGTAGTTCTGCATTTCAAAAGTTAAGTACTTTCAAAAGCTATAGATCCAACTTCTCCAAGTCTATTAACTCCCCAGATGGACTGACTGCACCCTTAAATTTGACAGTATCTGCGGTTCATTAATCTCACTACCTTGGAACTTCAGAAGCAAAAGCTACAGGTCAGACACACTTGTTTCCTCTAAGAATGCAAGAGACCATAGAACTGCCATAGAACTCATACTCAAAGCAAAAACAACCAGGCAGGATGAGACTGCAGTTTAATTAACTGATGTTATTCTAAGACCATATAGAATCTTGAAACACACTTACTCAGTTTCCCAGCTATAAAGACTGCAGTCTTCCTGAAGCATCCCATTAGATTACTGTCATAATGTATTTCATATATTTTCACAAATTTTTAACATAAAAATTATTTCCTTTGAGAAAAAAGCTTTAATTTTTTAATATGACTCTGATTTACCTAAATGCGCAATCTTAGACTCAGACTTCTTTTGGCCTTATTTTAATGAAAAGCTCTACAGTGCTTATAATGCAGCACAGGTTTCAACTATCTAACTAAAAGCATCTCTGTAGCCATGCATAAAGACTCTCTCAGGCCCACAAACTTGTAGGAAAACAAGTTTCTTTTGTTCTCCACTATTGCATGTGTAAGCCAACATAAATACCTATGTGTACAGAGCCATATAACCCTAGACTAAAAGAGATGCTTTGTCTTTTTCCAGCCATTCTACTGGCTTGAGAATAGCACACACCCCCACTGTGCGCTACCCACTTTAAGTCTTCTTAAACTTCCTCTTTCCCTAAACTTCACCTACGACCATCCTTTATTTCACCTGCTCCTCAGTTCTGTATCTTCCAAAACCATTCTTCTTTCTGATTTTTTGCCACCCCAAGATCCCCTTGATTCAGCCAGAGAAGAAGACTCAGTACTGTGCATCCTGTATCTGCCTGGGGAATGTAACAAAATTGTTCTTCCAAAAAACGTCTGACAGATACAGTAGATTGTGCTGAGCAGGAAAGGAATCCCAACTAATTTCATCTGCTCTCACGCCCTTCAGCCCACCCTCCACTTTTCTATTTTTCGTTACCAAGTTAAAGCTTTCTGCAATTACTCAAAAGCTGAAAACAAAGATTATCCACTATAAATTATATACAACTTCTAGACAGAAGTCTTAAAGATTCATCTAGCTCTCTGAAGTGAAAAGTAACATTTTCATAATAATGTAAGTGTATACAGAAAAAAAAAATCTGTTATAAACCTGCTACATATATTTTCCTACACTCCTCTCAAACACCACAAGAGACAGCACTCTATGGCAGCTATTGTTTTCAACATTTTCACTTCAGCAAATAACCTATAATGGATCAATTACTTTCTCTAACCACTCATAATATGCATAGTTACTGAGATGGACCAGTTATTAATGGAATATCAGGTTCTTAACCTTGGCTTGGTTTAGCAAATTGCATCAGACTGTGTTGTCTTCTAGTGACTGAAAATTATAGAGAATGCAAACTTTAAGTGGTGCTCAAACTGTCTACTGCCATTTTACAATGAATTTAAAAGGCAACTTACACATTGAGTTTTTCCAAGTTCTCTTGGGCACTGTGTTTTTCTCTCTCATATGCATTTTCTACCTCTTTGAACTCTTTCTTGATCATTTCTAAATCCGAAAGAGCTTCTGCTTGGCTGGCTTTTTCCACCTGCAAAGCTCCTTCAAGGTCTCGAATTCTTAACTACCAAGTGATAAGAAAGCAATTAAACCAAGTTAGGAAAAACTATCATGATCTTTAACGATGTTCTGTGTTCTATTATGCGTTCTGTTCTGCCTTATAGGTAGCTATATTCTATTAATTTTATATGGAACTATATACACAGAAAGCACTGAACACTTGTAAAAATGTATTTAAATTAAATTAAAAATGTAATTAATACATACAGTTCAAAACAGAAACAAATTGATAAGTTGATCAAAAGCACCTTTTATTCTCCTTTGGTGCTGTCTGGATTTTTCCTTTTCCAGTTATTACTGAAGTTTTCCAGGGGAATTCTATTTTTTAAGTAGACTCATGAAAGTGTGGGATTAACAGAAAAGGTTACACAAAGCACACTTGAAACTTGTTCATGTATATGAACAAGGCAAAAACCTTACCAGTCACTCACCAATAAAAAACAAATCTCTAACTTTAAGGAATGTTACTCTCTCCATTCCTTTGTATGTTGTAAAAGTAGAGAAAGGAAGTTAAGAAAAATAAATCTTTCCTTTCTACTAACTTAATTGTCACTTCAAAAAATTTAAGTGCCTGTACATAGAGAAGATCATGTAAATAAGAAAATAACTGAGGAATGTCAATACTTATTTTTGTAACTCAGAAAATAAAAAAAAATATCAAAAATATTTTTTTTGCTTAGTTTTTCAAAATTCCAGTGTGAATGGCTTGTTAGTAAGTATAAGATTACTAAACAATTGTCATCTAGATTTTTCTCACTTTCACTTGCTTTGTAAAATAAACCACAACTGCCTTACTGGGTCAAACCTTGTGTGCTGCAGTTTAATAAGACAAAGGTTTAATATTCAAGTATATTTACGCTACATTTTTTCATATAATCAATCCTTACTGGTAACTGCAGATATCATAACTTTGTTTGACGATGAAATGTACTCTGAATAATTACATTTGGAACTGCAGTTTCAGGATGCATTAAACTCTTACCTCTAGAGAAGCTGGAGGTAGGCACTGTATCTCCAAATAGCTCTAATTGCCCATTCAAAAGATACAGGGCAGGATATTTAAACAGCAGTATAGTGTTTAACTATTGTGAAACATTTCCTTTCCTCTCACTGTTGAAATGCTAGTGGGAATTCTCAAACTTGCACATGTGACATTTAAGTTTATTATTTATGCTAATAACTGCAATGTTCTCTGAAAAGCAGACATTTTTCCTATTCTCTCCTTTTATGTGTTAGCTATTACAATTTTGACACTTGTTGCAAACAAACTACTCAGTGTTTTCGCAGAAGCAAGTAAGTGGTCTTAACATTTTTGGCAGATTTTTTCTGTACAATATCATCAACTGTTTTACCATAAACTTGTATAAATTATATAATAAAAAGTTTACCTGGATAATCTCTGAATTGAATTTAGATTCCAAATGTGCTGCTCTCTCTGCTTCAATATTTTCTTCCAGTTTCTTTATTCTCACTGTAGCTGCCTAAAAGTACATTTGGAAGAAATTTAAGTCCAGAGAGATGATAAACATGACACAAAGACTATTCTATTCATTCAGTATCTTAGGATTCCATACACCAACCTGATGTATCTGAGCTGCTTCTACTTTGGAACTGTGCAAACTTGCATCAAGAAATACATAAAAAAATATTTTTTACATATCTAGAATATTAAGTTGTTGGTTTCTATTTACTTGAAGAAATTGATATAGTGTTATGTTATTGCTGCATTTTTTACAAGCAAGAAAACTGCAGCTGGAGTCAGAAAGCAGAAAGAAGACCAAATTAAATATTCCACCTATTCCTTTATTATTTGCTTTTTCACCAAGGCCGTCACCTGATGCAAAATAACCACAGCCTGTATGTTCCAAAATACAATGGGGTATCAATACGCTCTCTACAACTTCAGTGATGAGACAGATGAGGCACAGAGAAGACACAGAATTGCTCAAAAATATGTTGGCTTTGGGACCTAATTTCCAATGAAGGTGCCCAGAACTGATAGCCTTGCAGTCTTGCAGCCCTAAACCAGTCATACTTTCCCTACAACAAGAATCTGTAAACTCTGTAATGTTTTAAAGCAACAACCTAGTATTTTTTTATGCTGTGTTCCTCGCCCTTCAACTATTCTGATATGGTTTTCTCTAGCAATTATCAGGATATTCATGATCTCTTTTAACAAATATCCTGACTACATTAGTCAGTTACTACATATCATTGTACAAAAAAACACCTGTACGTGCATGTGTAAGCAAATAGTATAAGCAAAATGGGATTCTCTGAATTAAACTTTCTTTCTCACCCTTTCTTACGACACTCCGAAAAGAAAAATATGCAAATGACTATGCTAAGAATCTACTTGGAAACTTGGATTGCCTACAAAAAGTTGAAGTAGTATTCTATCTACAGTTTTGCTAAGCCCTTTTTTTTTTTTTTTTTTTTTTTTTTTAAGCATAAGTTCCAGAGAGAGATGTAATCCGGGGGCAAAATTCTGAGGAATGAATCCCCTCTAGAGTTTATGGCTTCCTAATAGAGACTGATTTCTCTGCCAGTTAGAGATCTACTTGCACGGTGCTGTTTGTGGATGTTGTTTGCAGTTGTGCATGCATTTCCAGCATAAGCTTCAG